AAACTTTGTCATGTCCGGTACAGTTGGCGCTCCGGCACCCCACTGCAGTATCTGTTGTATATTAATATTATAATTAAACATATCGTTTTGATTCTCGTACTAGTCACAGCTTCACTCTCCGTCTGACTTGCTGTCCCGTCCCCATTTCTCTTGGGTCTTATACGTTATATGTTACTAGAGCGCGCGGTAGCGTAGTTGGTTGAGGCACTGTGCTACAAGACGGAAGATCGCGAGTTCGATTCCCGGTGAGGTCACTGGATTTTTAGTTGACCTAATCCTTCCAGCCGCACTGTGGCCATGTGGTTGACAGCCTCTAAGTGATATAAGTACCAGAAATCTTCCTGCGGGTAAAGTGCGGCGGGCGCGTAAGGCTCAGAGCCTTACCGGCATTTGTGAGCCGATTGTCTAGAAAATGTGGGAGCATCGACGTCTCCACAACCTTATGGGCCTCTACGGCCTGTTACAGGGATTGCATTACTGGTTTTTTTTGGAGGGGGGGGGTGCATTACCCTTCATTCTTGGATCCGGCTGTCCTAATACCTGTTTCTGCACCCCAAATCTGGTCCGCCACATCTCAGTGTGTGACCCCAATCTTCTTTGCTACATGGGGGGACAACCCCCCCCCCCGTTCATTGTACCTCCCAACGCTCACAGCCTGCAAATTGCCTTTTGCAGCCATATTATTCCTCTCCTGGCCTCCACGACAACTTGGCATAGTATTGTCGTCGTGTTGTACCCGGAAATGCTCTGCATTTGTTGCGACATGTTGGCTGCACTGGCATGACGCGACTGGTTTGTGTAGGCCTTCCAAGTAATTCAAGTTTCCAGACTTTTCGAAGAATCTGCATCAAGTTCAGGATCAGATACTGACTGACTTGTCTCGTCGAATAAACCGGTTATTTAGTGCAGATGTCAGTTTTATGAAGCGTGGACATTTTGTCCTCTTTCCTGAACAGTTGCTGCAGACTTGGTGCGTTTAAGTGTTCCCAAGGATTAAACGTTGTTGTTGGATTCGAGGCTGTCGCAGTGGTGACTATGGAGAGTGCTCTCTCCTGGGCTGTGACGCCTTGTGGTTCGATAGAGGTTCACAGACGCTTCAGAATAACGTACTGCTTCCATCTTCAGGATCGAACTACATGGCGTGACATTCAGGGTACAGTACTCTTCATAGACGCTAGCTTTTAATACCAATTATTCTGTAGCGGGTGCCCCTTTTTCCTTGTACACCCGAAGTTTACCTGAATAGTAAATAAACATTCATTTCGTACCTCACAGAAAACACACTTCATATAAAGACCAGCCGGTTAATGTTGTTTATGGAAATAATCGCCGTTTATTGTAGGTCGTATTTAATGCATTAATATTGTCACATGTATGAATGACTATAGACGGGGTTTGGATTGGTGACTCGATTTATTGACCACGTATACACTGACGACTCGAAACTACAAGTGATTGCAGTGCCACCGCTGGTCTTCACAATAGAGAAATCACCACAACACCCCCTAAGCCTTTTCCAGCCTGCTTTGTCTTCACCAACCGTTTCCTGACAAGGGCTTTAACAGTGGAGGTTCTTCATCTTCTGTGCTCACGCCGTTGCCCGTTGGCTAATACTTCTCACAACTGTACTCGTCAAGTCAAACTGTCTTCATTGCATCTCGGCACGGACAACATAGAAACCACCGTTCGTTGCGTTCTCGGCCGTTACCGCGTTAACGTGTTTACCGAGCCGTGGCCCAGAAACGGCCTCGGCGCGGACCACAGAAAACACCATTCTTGTATTGTTGCTGGCGTTACTTAGCAGCGACCGCTTAGCAACGGGTCTGTACCCCACAATATGATGATCATAAAGTGAGATGTGTTAGTGAATGTTAAAGGATGTGGTACGTTTAGTTACCACTGTGCTTCACAGTGTTAACATGCACTGCAGTTAGCGTTAGTGTCTTAATTCCCCCCGTTGTACACGGCAGGCTATTGTCGGGGCAGTTACCTGAGCACCCCCCGGTCACTCGACTCTTGGTACCGGAACTGTGAATTCTTGAGATAATCTCGAACGCAGAGCCACACAGTCGGACCCGCCAGGAAGCAAGAGAGTTCGTGTGGTGAGGAGCGTAATCCCTTAAAACAGTGGTAACTATATATACCGGAACACTGTGTGGGCTGAATGCAGATTTTTATTTACGTTGAGGCAGGCGGTACCTATAATTACCAGTATATTTTGAAAGGTTACAGTTCGTGAATGTGTTAGGAGAGTTTGGAGGATTTGAGGTTCTCACAGCGGGTCTTATAATGGGATATAACGTCGTATAATCCGTTGAAAGTCAACCGACGTTTCGGAGGAACATATCGCCTCCATCTTCAGGGTCGAATAAGCCACGCGAGATACCAGCATGAAATCACTCGGTTTGTGTGAGGGCGATTGTCCGAGTTCTGATGATTCACTATCAGCTGATTACTCATCTGATTACAGCGAAGTGCCTGGCTTGTTATCATCAGTTAGAGTAGCTGCATCAGCTGTCAGCGATTTCTTGCGATTGCTGTGGCAGTATTTCACTGGAACGGCTGACGGCTGTTCATCCCGTCATGGGACCCTAAACATTCGTATGTATCCGTGTTTCTGTCTGTACAGACGGTTTCGCCGACCCCTCAGATGGGGTTAGCGAGTTCTACCGAAACTGCGGTAATCACGTAATCCAGAATACCACAGTTCAGTCTCGCTTGAGGTTTTCCGACAGAATTTTTAGTAATATGTTTTCTTACGCCTATGAGTTCGCGATTTTGTCACTAACACATGAAGAATACGATTTTGAATCTTTCTTGCCTACAGTTTCCCTCTTCTTTTCTCTGTCTTGGCTCCCAACCCAATCTCAGTTCTCTGCTTTCACAGTTGTTAGCATTATTACTGATCCCACCGGCTTGCCAGGAGTCATATTCCTAATGACAGGGGTTCCATTCCAGGTAGAGGCAACATTTCTTTCTTCGTCACGTGTACAAGAATCAGCTTCCATCTTCGCAGGGTGGGGCGAGACAGTCCCCTTGGTACGTGGACCACTAGTGTCCCGGCTGTTGCAGGAATGTAGAGCGTTTCGTGGAATGAGAATCGGCAAGTGCTCTGAGAAGAGTGACACTTTGCCACATGAGCTATCCTGGTATCGAAGCCGGCGACTCACTTTCTGCCTCCCTCCCGGTGTTTCCTCCACTGATGAACGCTACGAGGATGTAGCGGACATGTGTGTGATGGCTTGCAGAAGCATCCCTGACGACCGAGCATACAGTGGCAGCTGCTGAGGGACTCCCACTTCTGGCCGCTCAGACACAGTAGTGCAATCCCTGACCCGTTCAGCCATGGATATTTTCATGTGCATGTATGTTTGTGTACACGCCTGTCTTGCAGTAGGTCGCAAACAGTGAGAGTAAAGGAGCATTGTCATCCTCCCATTCGCTGCTTAGGGTAGCACGTCACGAGTAGTTTGTCGGACTCTACACCAGTTCCTGTATTTCTTCTGGGTCTACAGGGAGCCGGTAAAGCTCAGTCAGTATAGCGACGGGCTACAAGCTGGACGGCGGGTGTTCGATTCACCGCAGCGGGAAGAGCCTTATCTCCACAGTATCTAGACTGGATCAGGGGCCAACGCAGACCCTTATCCAGTGGGTATCAGGGCCTCTTTCCCCGCCGATGTAGCGTGTGGGGGCATGGAGCTCATCACACCTGCATTTGGTGCCGAGATAAAAAATGTTGAAGCTATACCTCCATTCCCCCATACGTCTTCATTGCGTGGTACTTAATTAATTGAGCAGAAGGACACCTTTGCCTTTTTTACCTTCAGGATCGAAGAGCAAGATAAGCAACAAGCACGCGGCAAGCTGAGCATATTTCTCGTTCGTCATCATAGGTTGAGAGGCGGGAGATTAGGCAAGCGAATGTTCCTGAAAATACAGACATTTGATAAAGCCGGCAGTTGGAAGTGTATAGGACAGCGTTCGTTTGCGTGGCGGACAGGCCCGGTACGTGTCACTGCAGTTACCCAGGAGCACGGAAACTAACGATTATTTCAAAAAGAAGACTCAAGAAATGGAGAACAATAAACGGACAGAGAAAGAAGGGTGAGTTCAGTTTATATCACTTGGTTTCTCACACGATATTCAGGGAGAATAAGTACTGTGTTTCTGGATGTTACCCCGTGTAGTCTGGTAGGGATATGCTGTTTCCACCTTCATGCTCTAAGGGTAAGTCAAGCAACCAACAAGTAGACCACTTCATACTTAGTGGTTGCATGCTTGTCTTACTCTTCGACCCAGAAGATGGAGGTAGTATATATCACCGAAACGTCAGTGAACTTCACCGGACTCCAAAACGTCACTTTCTAGAAGACAGTAATCTCGATGGTCTCCGCCGTGATAACCTCAAATCTGTATCTGTCTCCTACGTTGTGTTCGGGTGGCTGTGTTTTCTGACGCAGGCTCGGTCCTGGGATCCACGACCGCTTTCTGTCACATCGTCGGTTTCTTTATCACGTTGCTGACGTCTCGTTTGATAACTAGTGTGAACAGCTGTATAGAAACCGTTCGTGGGATATTCCAGCAGCTCTTCCGGAGTCGAACTAAGGACCGGCCGATTCTAGCAAGTGCATCCTTACAAACGCTTGTATGACGCTGTCAGTAGGCAGTATAGCGGCGGATGGTGGGATGAGTGCAAAGTGATGAGGAAGTAAGCGGCATTGGTCTAATTGAGATATTGCCTGCAGAAATGGAAGGAAACCACGAAACACTTCACTCACGATAGCCGGTGCCGATCCGAGATTTGATACAAGTAGCTCCCGAATTTGAGTTTAAAGCGTTAACCTCTACACCATTCTGTTCGGTAAAGAAAATATGATTTATTCGCTGGTTAACAGCGTTTGGGATATAGGTACTGTTCTCAGGTTGAGTAGTCACGGAGTATAGCGGTGTGCCCCACGCTCCAGGGCGCTCATCTGTCATCGCTCAGTTGCACTGTAGCCGTGTGTGTGCCGGCATGGGTGTCATTAAACGTGGTGTGATCCTTATGTAGGACCTGTGGGTGTTAAGGTGATCCTTGCGTCGGTTCTGTGGGTGTAAAAGTGACGATCCTTGCGTCGGTTCTGTGGATGTTAAGGTGATCCTTGCGTCGGTTCTGTGGATGTTAAGGTGATGATCCTTGCGTCGGTTCTGTGGATGTTAAGGTGATCCTTGCGTCGATTCGGTGGATGTTAAGGTGATGCTTGCGCCGGTTCTGTGGATGTTAAGGTGATGATCCTTGCTTCGATTCGGTGGATGTTAAGGTGATCCTTGCGTCGATTCTGTGGATGTTAAGGTGATGATCCTTGCTTCGATTCGGTGGATGTTAAGGTGATCCTTGCGTCGGTTCTGTGGATGTTGAGGTGATGATCCTTGCGTCGGTTCTGTGGATGTTAAGGTGATAAGGAACACCGACCCGGACGGTTGCGATTGTTACAGATAAGTTAAGCGCCACTTGCTGTGAGTAAGCTCAATTGTTTAGAATTATGGTCTGTTCGTTCACTGTCACATTTCACTCTACATTTTCGGCCCCGAGAAGTAGGAGAGGTTAGCGAGATGCACGCAGAAAAGCATGAAGATCTTCGTGTAACGTGTCTCTTGTTCTTGTCCGATACCAAATCAAATTGTAATGTGCCGACAGAATGGGGAGTAACTGTCGCATGTCAGATTTGATGGGGTGCTTTCAGTGGTGTCGTGATGACATTTTTGCAAACCGCTGTATAGAGGCAGTAACGGCGCACTGGCTAGAATTGTTACATGTTGCGAGCATTTCCAAATTTGCTATTTGAATGGCTGCTGTAGGCAGAATTCCTTCATCACGAAACAAATTAAACTAGGGGAACACCTGGACCCATCGAATACCTTGCGATTTATACCCGTACGTCGCCTTGTATTATGTGTGCAAAGAATTGAAGGAATACGAGATTGGCGGGACACGTAGCTCGCGTGGGGAGTTGTACTGTACATCATTACGGAACGCCGCATGAAAACGTACGGACATTGACGTCTGCACTGGATGGAGATGAGTGGTGAGCTTCACGCCCCAGTCTCTGTTCCCGGGCACCCTCTGGTCGCTGACCAGAAGAGAGACACTCTTGCCCCATCGGAAATAGAACACAGATTCCTCGGTCGTCCAGCTTGTAGTCTAAGTCACTATATGATGAAGTTATCCGGACACCGAGAAATGCGTACAAATTTTTGGTTTGAAAACTTGAAGGAGAGGGGCCAGTTCATCTACTGTTCTACCCTGAAGATGAAGGCAGGTTCCTCCACGAAACTACACGTCACCTCGCCTCTCGAGGCAAGTTGGTGCACTTCCATTCTGTGGAAATATGCGGCACTGCAAAACCCGCAGAAGAATGCGAATTCCTTGCAGTTGAGTGCGAGTCTATATTTAGACCGCCCTTTGCAGCGCGCTCGCCGTTTTGTGGAGTCCGGTGAATCATTGGGGGTAAGGGCTCAAGTGGTGCTCATACTTTCACCGCTTGTTTGAAACAGGCCTCTCGATGCGTTTCAGAAACGTAATGTAAATTTAAAACGCGTAATCCAAGAGCTGGTTTTCCGTAACAAGTTAAGGAAAAGTTGGGCGAAGTCGACCCAGAAGGTTGTATATTTTATTTTAAGGGTTATTTTAATTCACACTGCATATCATCCCTGCACTATATACGTGCAACTTCTCTTGTCTTCAGTACCACTCAGTAGTCCGCCATATTGCCCGTCACTGATATTGGTAATCGCGTTGAAGTAACAACTCAATATGACGTAAATAAAAATGTGTTATATATTCACAGAAGAGTCGCTCTGTGGTCTAGTGGTCAAAGTTCCTGGCTACTGATAGAGGTCCCGGGTTAGTTTCCCGGCGCTACCAGAATTTTTTAGAAGTAGTGGGTCTGGAACGGGGTCCACCCATCCTCGTGAGGGTAATTGAGGAGCTACTTGAATGGAAAAGTAGCGGCTCCGGTCTAGAAAACCGAGATTAACGGCCGTGGGGATCCGTTGCGCTGACCATGTGACACCCTCTATCCGCTAAAGGTGGCACTAACATCGCCGACAAGTGGCGGTTGCTCGGTCGGTATAGTTCGCTTGCGGACTAAAACCACGGAGTTTAGTTTTTATAGTTTTAGATTTATATATTCATAGAAGAGTCGGCGTAGCTATGGCCTACAGGCTGATCTGCCGCTGTTCGGACCCCGGCAGAGGCAAGAGATACTTGTCTACTGAACAGTATCCAGACCTGCTATGGGGCTTAGCGGTCTAGGCGTGGAGCTGACCACTCGCCTTCAGCTAGTTCGCGTTGTTTTAGTGCTGCAGCAGCTTGCACCGTGCAGTCAAGCAAAAAGTGTAACATCAACATATGTCATGCCTTCCGCCCCCACCCGCCCGGGTTCTGGTAGCGATCTATTTGCTTAGCTGAATCACAGCTGAGATAGCAATAAATGGAAGTTGTACTCTTTGCCCCAGCTGTGTCAGGGATAAGCGGGCCTCGCAACCAGAGGCTGCCGTGGCTGAAGTTGCCCCTGTTCGTAATCAAGCGCTACTTCGTGAAGATGCATGGGGGAGTGGGAGTATAACTCCACGCGATCTTAACCTCGGCAGTAAACGGGAGTGAGTGGTCAGCTTCACACCTCGCCCTGAACGAGCCCTTTGGACAGGACGCTGGGTGGGCCCCAGAGCCGGTCTGGACGCTGTAGAGAAGAGCAAAATGTTTGCCAGGACATGAAGCTGACCACTCTCATTTGGTGTGGAGGTTAAGAATGCGTGGAGCTCTTCCTCCACCATGACATTGTCGACAAGGTTTAACGGCGATGTATCAAGATGATATGGCGTCGACTGGTACGATGATCGGTGGTGATGATTTGGATGGAGGCGGCCGCGGTTCGGTTTGCAGTGTCATCGCAGAACTTGCCCGCTACCATATCTCCGAGATCTGCACCTGGGACCTCCCGAGTATGAAGCAAGGGTGACTGGGCCGTGTAAGGGCTTACACGCTGCGTGGGGTAACATCTTGAACAGCTGGTAGTTGATCATCCGGTCAGGATATTTCGTGCTTTTCTGAGAGCACAAGGTTCATTGCCGTGATCTAGAGAAGACCTCGTTTGGCCCTGTCCTGATTCACATCAATCTAATCTGCACTGATTTTAATATTATCCTCACATCTGCGCCTAGGTTTCAGAATGGTCCATTCTCCCCAAGAGATCATACAACCAAAGCTTCTGATTAATCGCATTGCGTACTGTATGGCCTGTCTATCTCGTCTTTCTCAGTTTACCCAAGCGAGCTGTGTTAGCGGTAACGGTCTAGATTCCAGCTGCCTTGCAGGGTTTCATGGTTTTTCTCGGTCCCTCCGGATGCTTCCCCCAGAAAATTTCCATATCATAGTCCGTCATTGTGCCATTGGACGCTACGCTCATATGCGAGACGTTAAGAGCGCCCACAAATTCTCTGTTGAATAAAAATGTTAAAAGACATTTTGGGTGTGCTGTGTGGCTGGCGTGCTGCGGTTGTTGCGCCCCTTGGTTAGGTTATTCCCCCCAGAAGAGCTGATTGCTCTTGGCGGCTCGTTTGTTCTGCCATTGTCGGGGTGACATGAGAGCTGTCATGGAAACCATGGGACTGGTTCTCAGCTGTGGTTCCGGAAACTCACCTGCCGTACTTTGTGTTTCGGGAAGTAAATAGTGATAGGATAAAGGATCCCAGGACTAACCATTTCGAGGGGGAGGGGGGTACCAAGAAACAGACTATCAGCGTGGCGGATCGTCCTCTTTAGCGTTTGTTCAATAAATTCTGCTTCCATTGATCCTAAAGGTTCATTAACGATCTCGCTGGACCGTAGAGACCAGTTCAAGTTTCATTCTTAGAGTTTCGTTTAATATTATCTTCCGAACTTCAGGAATCTTGGTTTCTTTGCTTTCGGACGATCAGGTTGCTGACCGGTAACGCTCGAGACTTGTATTCTGGAGATGCACGGTTCGAACCTGGGCCGACACACCGGCTATCCTCAGTGAGGCGTTTCGTGGTTTTCCTAGGCCCCTACTTGTAAATACCGGGATAGTACCCTAGTCATGCCACAGCCTCTTCATTTCAAACCATTTCCAAACCATTTCCAAACCATCCCAAACCAAATGATTTCCGTTTGCATCATTCATCCGTCATCCTCGGATCCGACGCTGTGTAGCCGACTGCGCACTGTACAGACCAGCAACACGCCATGTCCTCACACGAGTTGCAGTGATGTTGACGGTGGAATTTTCGAAAATGTATTATACTAGTAAACTGTACCAACTTTGTCACTTGAGCAGTAAATACCGGCATTAGAAACAGTACGTAATATCTCTTTCTTATCAACAGTTTTGGAACTATGGACTGAAATAGCTTATCTCGGAAACCGTTCCGAATAGGACACATGTACATATACACGTTTTTGCTTAGAATTGCCGATAGTGTGACCTCCCAGAATACTGATCTTTCCTCCTGGGACACTGTATAGCGTCGCTGTTTATTGTGAGGACCATACGGAACACTTAGATGCATTAAAGCAGGTGGTACATGTACAGTGACCATTGTGCGTTAAGGCTCAATGAGTCAGCATCTGACGAGATATTCTCTCCGGAATCATGTCCGTGTGTCCAGTATGACAGCTGCTGTGAGTTGAACCTCTGTCACAGCACGGCCCAGGCGCTACTGGTGCCCCCGTGAAGACGCACTTGTGGCGCTCAGCGCATGCTTGTGTCTTGGTTTATGACAGTTTTATTACTCACAGCTCAACTTCGTGTCTGTTTTGACGGTAGTCTTCTGGGTTACGGGACTAAGTCCCTTGTACTGCGCCAATTCTCCTATTGTACCAGCCCCAGATGATAGGTGAGGGTGACTGTGGAGCAATTGGTGGAATGAAGATTGGTAGGGGAAACCGAAGTACTCGGAGAAAACCTGCCCCAGCGCCACTTTGTCCACCACAAATCCCACTTGACAAGACCCGGGATCGAGCCCTGGCCGCCGCGATGGGAAGCCAGCGACTAACCGCTTGAGCTATGGCGCGGCCTAGAAATGTGATACCCATCACTGTACTGTTAACCACAACTCTGATAACTTTTCCGACGAATGGTGGAGCTATGCCTCCATTACCCCAGATAAATAAGCAGAGGGACAGCTTTACGTTTAGCGCTGTTAGACGGACGATGCCGAAACGTATTTGTGTGCGTTAGTCACGGGATGTGCGGCGGTGGATTTGAGGCGTGAGTCTCATTTCTGTTTATAGGAGTTGGGTCCCCGCCAGAGGAAATTGTGTCACTTTTCTTCTAAATCTATCAGCAAACTGCTGTGGATATGTGGGTCACAGGTGTCTCCACGCTGCTGTCTGTATGAAGGAGCAGGGGCTTCAGAACTGACGTTAACTTTTCCTTTTTTTCATTTTAGTGTTCGTTTAAACGGACTTTATGTTAGTCTGGCGCGAGCATTGGCTGTATAATAAGTAGGCTGCGCTCTGTTTGACCGACAGAAGATGGAGCCTACAGGTAAAGCGTCCGGGGCGTGAAGCTACAGCCGAGGTCAAGGATGGTGGAGCTATGCTTCCACTCTCCATATGTTTTCATGGCATAGTGCTTAATCGGTTAAGCAAGGGAAGGATTTTGCCTTTTTTACTTCAGGCTTTGATTCTGTATATTTATTCATTGCTACAGTTATATTTAACTATACAAATTGATGAGCAAGTTGGCATGGCGGTAACGCTCTGGGCTCCGGAAGGTGCTCAGTTCGAATCTCCTCCGGGACACTCTGGTTTTCCTCAGTCCCTCTGGAAAAATGCAACGATTGTACGTTACTTCGACCACAACCGCTTCCTCCCAAATGTTTTCCAGTTGTTGATTAACCTGTGACCCTAGCAGTCGGCGCTGTATAATGTAGCTACTGACCGACCGACCGACCGACCGAACAACCAACTAACTCCATGGAGCCAAGTGCACGCCCAGCCATCCAAGAACTTACCGACATTTTGTGGAACCCGAAGGTTCATTACCGTGTTCAGAAGAACCAGCAGCTGGCCCCTATCCTGAGCCAGATGAATCCATTGCCACCCACTCTCAGCTGCGAGACCTGGCCACTTCGCGCACCCACAATGTGGAGGGGTGGAGCTGTAGGATACTAACAGCCATCGCCCCAGTGCTGCAGACTTTTCTGATTTTTACTGCAGCAGGTAAAGGTAAAAAAGGCAAATTTGTCCCTGCAGCAGGTCGTGGAGGTCTGTAGGGTTGTGAGACATCGAAGATCCAACATTTTATGAACAGTCGGCTCACAGATGGCAGTGAGTTTTTAGGTCCTACTCGCCCCACCCCCAGAAAGATTCCTGGTACTGATTTCTATGAGAGGCTGAGTCCACCCCAGGACCATAGTGCGGCTGGAAGGATTAGGTTCACTGAAAAATCCAGTGACCTCATCGAGAGTCGATCCCGGGACCTTCCAGCTAGTAACATAGTACCTCAACCAGCTACGCTGGTAGCATGTCCCGAGTACGGCAGGTTGTAATTAAATTATAACATCTTTTGTGTGTTGATTTATGACAGTGATGTTTTAGCCTGTGATTTTCTGAATTATTACACCTTATAGTCTGGTAAGTGGGTACGAATGCATGGAAGGAGCTGCTGCAATATTCAGAATTGACATCTGTCTTAAAGATGGAAGCAGCCAGGTTTTCCAGGACGTTAGTCACCTACCAGACTACACGATGTCACGACGCAATGACTGTAATTGAAATTATAGCATCTTGTACATCACCAGACGTGGATGCTGTTAGGATTTTTTCATTGGAGCCAGGAACCAGAAAATTTGCTTGCAAACTTACATCTAAGGTTATTTTTACTGATCACACTAGGCCATTAAGGACAGAAGCATACTCCTAATGTTTTGTGTTAATTAATATTTCTTGTATCTTCATTTTTAAATTTTTTACATTTGTTGTATTCAAGGAGAAGGGCAGATGGCCGACTTCCTCTTTTACCCCGTTGCCAGTGCCTATGTTGCCAGCCAAGTAAGATCCATGAAGTATTAGGGGATTCAGTAATAAACACCATTGAATTCAGCCAAGCCACCTAACCTGGAGTGTCCTGTATGCTTACAGGAGGCAGATCCTAATGTCTCGCTACCAGTCTGGCAACATGGCGGGGGAGATCTGGGTGCAGTGGTTCTCTTGTTGTATCAATCAACCAGCAGCACAACAGGTGAGCCATCTTGTTGAACACAACTTCACTTTATGCTGATGGGCACCATGACAACCTGACTTCACAGTTAGGTTCTTCTCCTTTGAAAGCCATTTCTTCATGTTTAAATTTAGCTCAGTCATCTCATTATTTGCATGTGTGAGGATTATTTGATCGGGTTTGCTGTAGAAATAATGATTTACTGACCCTCAGGTCCGATGTTCTTGTTTCTAGCACTGAATTTGTTTGCATGTCTGTCCTTGCAGAGGAAACGTGTGCAGCAGCGAGTTAGGCGGATTGACCGGTCCATGATCGGTTCACCAACCAACTTCCAACACACAGGTCACATTGGTTCGGGCGATGTGGACACGGGGAACTCACGTCTGCGGGCCATTCAGAATCAGATGCAGTCAAAAGGGGGCTACGAGACAGCCTTCAGCACAGTTCAGGTGCAACATGGTTTTGTGTGGGAATGATCATTGGGGAGAATTATTGGAAAATGACCACTTGGACAATCAAGCAGGAGATGGTTGGAGAATATTAAGATTCATGTTATGAGAATGGGATGGGTGATTCATGGAAGTGGCTGCGGATTGTGTCCAGTGGCGGGTTTTTGTTTTGTTATGGCTCTACTACTGGAATATTAGTTACTTTGTTTGTTTGTTTCTTAGCAGCCAGACAGGAATGCAGGCAAGTTCAGAAACTTCTCGTCCCTCCTCCTGTTTACAAACTAAAGGGAAAGCATGCTTGTAATATAGTAAGAAGCATAGGGTGGGCCTTCTTTTGCTTCTTTTATTTCTATAGTTTTAGACTGCTGTAGTGTGGGATGTGAGGCCCCTGTAGTAAGGCATAGGTTAACTAATGTTTTGGAGGTAGCTGCTTGAGCAGGCCATTAAAGTATTGTAACGTGTTTCGTTACTGAATACGCCGTAGAGATCGTTAATTGGTTTATTGAACAATCTACAAATAACGGCTACAATTAATTATCACAATGTTACGGGTTTCCACACTTTACAAACCCTACAACAAAATCTCTTAACACTATCTTCCAGAGTCTTCACGTATTAATAGCGTGGGAGCTATACAAGTCTCGCTGAATTACACACTCCAAATATAACTGGTTATCACGAATTATCACTGTGGCTTGTAACTTGCGAACTGAGAACTCGTTGATAACACACTGGCTCTCGCTTGCTGCTCAGCCGGCTTTTATTCCGTTCGCTGTTGCTAGTTGTGACGTGGCGTATAGCCTAGCAACGCTGTTACCCCTTGGTGACGTCACCGCTGTTGACTCGCGTTGCATAGCTTCAAGGTTGTGGGGACTCGGCTAACTTCGGCTCCGCTCGTGACGTCACCGCGGGGAGAGTGGCGGGGTGATGACTCGCCTATTACGCGAGCGCTACGTGCCGCTGGGGAGGTAGGGGTCAACATGTCACACTATACATGTTTGAGAACAGTCGTTTGTTTTTTTGGTCAAGCTTTCTCATGTGAGCTTCAAAATCTTGAACAGAACAGCACAGATGTTTCTTAGACTTTTCCAGGATTGAACGTTGTAAATGTAAGATTTCGTAAGTTTCGTTTGTCAGGGCCTGAAAAATGAAGTGAGAATTCTGGAAAAACTTAAAATTGAAGAGACATACATTCAGATAATATTTAAAGTTGTTCATGTGGGAATTTGGGCAGGTCAAAACGAAAGAATGTGTATTATCAGGAAAATGTAAATTCCAGTAGTACGAAGTTGAAGTTTTGCTGTAGGATGAATTTCTGACACGATCTGAGGCTGTGTGTACTGTTTTGAAGTAATTACTAGTACCAGAATTAAGGAGAACGATGCCTGGGTTCCTTCGCCTTCCATTATATTAAAAATATATTGCAATGCTTCCCCTACAGCCTTAACTAAATGTTGTGACTATGACTCTGTTCCAGGCATGCTAAGCAGACTCCAGAGTATACAGTGACTGAAAATGTGTGGCATGAGTGTTTGTACTTTGGAATGTAGTGTAGACAAATATACTGTGGATGCAACTGAGCTGACAGACAGGTTTTTTGTGTATATTTCCCTGCTAAATGTCAGATTTCCACGTGGTGTGAAGAGTGCCGATGCATCGAGTGTTTGAATGTGTTCCGCACAGCAGGTGGTGAAGATATTCAGCAGATTATGAGCCAACAGTATGTACATTCAGGAGAACAAGAACAGTGACCAGCACCATCTTTGCACATGAATGTCTTCTGTTGGATCGAGCTGATTGGTTTGTGTGTATGTCTGTCTTGAGTCCCCTCGTTACGTCATGCTCTTCGAACTTTCATGCTGTGTCACATGACTCATGATTCAGATTTTGGCAACTTGAGTCATAAAACTGACCACTGGCTGTCAGATGTGGTCTGGTGATGAGTCATGTTGAGAGTCAAAATTTGCTTAAAAATTCAGTTTTTCTAGAAAGGACTTTTCATTGTAACAGTGACCCATTACATCAGCTGACACAGCTAAAGTTAGTACATTGAAATGAAAGTTTTGAAATTTTCTTACTAAATTGAAATCCATTAGGTTGTGCAGGCATGTGCATGTGGAGAGAAATTTGATGATGGGGTTCCATAAATTGTGGGCCAAGTGATTGTTAGCTTCTTGAGAAAGATTCAACTCAATGAAGGCAGTTAGAACCTTCTTCTTCCAAAATAAAAGGAAATTCAAGATGAGCATGGCACCATATCACAGAAGACTAACAGTTTTCTTCTTTTTTTTTCTTCTGGTATGGTGTTTGTTTCATTCAGATCAATGGGTGAGAAGTCTGCAGTCCCTTGTTCCTTTGCAGAGACTTTCCTTTTGATTTCTTACAAGCCCTTTTCTATTTTCTTGATGTTTTCCATTACCTGGGTGAACCATGTTTTTCCAGGTCATCCCATAGACCTCTTTCTTTTCAATTTTACTCCTGAAGCTCATCTTGTTGTCCTCATTCACACCATTCTTTTTACGTGGCCAGACCACTGACCATTTCTCAGCTAACTGTATTAACACATTTTGAGTTCTGGCTTCTCAGAAAAATGTCTTTTCTAATTTTAACCCTTTTTGGTTTTTCCCTCATTTCCATTGTTTGGATTTAATTTCTGTTTCTCTCAGAAAGGGTCAGTGTTTCAATGTTTCATGTTTAATATCAGTTTAAAATATAAGAGTGTTGATTTGCATTGTCTTGGGATCTTTTGATCCCATAGTTTTCGCTCTATAATTAAACAAAGTTTAGTACAACAGGATGCTTCAAAAAATATGTACATAGTTATATAAAGAGTATTCATTCACATATTCATGTTGGGACCAAAGTTTAATGTGCCTGTAACCAATAGTGTTAAGACCACCAGTCTCAGATTTATTGCAGATTGTTGAAATTCCCGTTCGTATTGGAGGCTTAGTTGGAAATTGACATCTCCACACGCTTTATACACACCAATTGCTAAGATTTCCAGTACTGCTTCAGAATAAGCTCTTGTTGCTTGAAGGTCAAGCGGATATTTGTTATTTTACTTTACGCTATGGATCATTGGTAAGGTATTGTAATTTTTAAGGCTATCTCTTTAGTGCATGCCACACTAGTTAGACGTACATGAAGTTTTGGTTCCAGTGAATGTATGAATAATTCTTTATAAAAATTTATGTACATTTTGGAGACACTCTCTATATGGTTTCCTTCTGTTATCTTTTCATCACATCTGCTTAGAATTTATTTTTCTTTCCAAATAATTAAATATGTCAGAATTAAGAGGTCATTTCAGATGTGTTCATAAGACACTTAAAGTTTTAATTCTGTCCTCTGTTCTCTGCTGTGAAGGCATTATCATAAATGCAAAGTGATATGAAGTCACAAATACAGCAGACATTTTTATGTTGCGTGCACAAGGTAGCAGCCTTACCATAAGGATGTGTTGTGATGCTCATATTTCCTTCTCATGTGGCTGCCCACTTCATAAAGACGTCACATCACAAGTACACTGAATTTCTACAAATTGCTTTCTTGTGGAACATGAATCCATGTAATGGAAAGAACAGACTTCTCTGAAATGTGGGTACTTTATGTATTGAACTGTATTTCATCACATCCTAAAAGACTGTATTTACACCCTCACCATTGCGAGAACCCAACTCTCATATTAGACTCCTGCCTGTTGTCTTTTGGTGAGCCTAATATACATGAAAACATCACTGATATTCAGCGTTGTGTGTGTAAATGGTGTAAACCGAGTATCACCTACAGTTTACTTAAGATTTTAAATTATACATGTAACAAATTAGAGTTTAAGATAAGAGATATTTAAACAGTGTAATAACTGAACTTGGTAATCATGTACAAGTCAGAGTTTCCTGTAGCCAAGGGGACTGATGTAACACAAAAACTGTAAGGATTTTTGTATGTTTGTGACACTAATAACAAATGTAATCATCACAAATTAGGTTACATGTACAGATTCAGTTTCTTTATAGTGTACAGTACACATTTGTCACAACTCCATCATTTTGCATTTCAAGTGACTAAATTAATTTTATTTGTTTTGTTTCCAGATGCATTGATTTTGTATCATTTTTCATTTATGGTTGAAATCATTGTAGCTTTTTTTATTTGCTTATCATTTATTTGAAAGTGATTTTCAAGCTTGTTAATGTATAAAGATTGTCTTCTTCAACACAATTAAACTATATTTGTTGTATTATTTTGTATCATTTTATTTGACTTTTGTTGGCGACTGGTACCTGTACAAGGAGACTGAAGATTGGAATCCTGTAGTGACCATACCAGAGCTTATGTAAGGGTCATGGCATGCAGTTTAACTCTTCATGCCTTTTTCCAAAAGGTAAATCAATGTTTGCTTATCATTTCTCCAGCTGGCCAAGGTGGGGAAAGGAATGGTAGTGGACTGTATTCTTAACCTTGAGGGGGGCAGTTAAGTTCATGCATTAACCACTTTACTTCCAGTGAAGGTATCCCTATTACCTGCTGGGCATGAGGCTGGATGTGTGTGGACATTGCAACAAAGAAGAAAATCCTTGTTCCTAACCTGGAATCAGTGGTTATCCAGCCCATACCAGTCATTTTAAATACACATTGATGTAGAGCATGATGACCTTGGCTACACTGGTACTGTGGACTGTGGCGTGGACATTAATACGATACTGTCCTGCCAGTATTCCTTTATAAATATGTTGAAGTGTCATTTTTTTTTTACGTTGTCTAAACTGACTCTGTTGGGAGCCAAGTGTTATGGGAGAAATGTGTCTTAGGTTCTTTCATGATTTTCCTTAGATTCTCCAGTTAGATATTGGCGTGGTACTTTAAACTGGTTCTTTCCTGATTGTTCCCAGTTTATTCACAATGATCCTCAAATTTCATCATGTATATTCTGTCCAATTGAGAGAACAGCATTAAATAACTAAGAATAATTTGAATGAAGCCGTCTTCTGAGATGTGCCACCATGTAGATGTGGTGTTAACCGACGTTTCGGAGGAACGTATCGCCTCCATCTTGCACCTGTTCTCACTGAATCTTCACTAGGGGACTTTCTTATTTTTCCTTCTACCCTGAGATGGAGGCGATATGTTCCTCCGAAACGTCGGTTAACACCACATCTACATGGTGCCACATCCCAGAAGACTGCTTTCTTGATAGTCACTGCCGTGAAAACCTCAAATCTTACATAAGAATAATTTGTTCGTAAAAATTTAAGTACTTTTATATGAGCTCTCTTTCTCCTAATACTGAAAACAGGAACTAAAATTACCATGCGTTAATTTCACATATGAATAAAAATTGAGTCAGTTTGCTTGTTCCCTTTTCAGTTCTTCATTTTTTTAAATCTGTAAGTTATTTTGTCCAAAACTTTTTTAATTTTTTCTAACTATATTGCTACAGTTTTGTATGATTTCATGTAAAGCAGTTTCTCCTCCCTGTTGTTGCATATGTGTAACCATATACAGGCTTCTGTTTCCTTTTCCTTATTGTGTAGTTACATCTTTGTGATAGTCTTGTGTAAAAGTGTCATGGTGTCCATATTTTACTGGGTAAGAGTAATACAAAATATATGGCAATTTAATTATTGAATATTGTAAGGATAAATCCTAACCTCACTTGTAGCTAAGACTTATCTGACATTCTTTGTCATTACTGTGGGTTAATTCAGGTTTGATCCAGAATTGACTAACCTTTTACATGAAATTTAATGTTCAGCATAATCATATCTTGCAGGCTGCAACTCACTGATCTTGTGATCATGTCCCTCTAGTATGTAGTCTATATAACAACCTGCCTTATCTTTTCTGGGTTCTTACGCTAGAAGTGAGTTGACACCTGTATGCCTCTGTGAAGGGTTGGTTTTACCCTCAAATTTGCTGCCTGTTGCTGGTGCCTTCAAAACACTGACTGATTACCAACCTGTGATCATATTGTGCAGTGCTGGCAACTGTCCCATTGCACTTGCCTGTTTTCATTCTGTGTTCTGTTCATGTTATAATAGCATTCACTTGTTTTATGAAGCCATATTCATGTTCAGCTCAATTTCTACTGTTCGGTGTTTTTAGGAACCTGTTTCCTCCATTTTCAGGACAGGCATTCTCTGTAAAGTTCGTACTTGCCTACAGAAGTACATGTTGCCTCTGACTGCACCAAAAACCTCAACCCCAGATCCTCTCTCCATTTAAGAGGATAAATAATTTTACACTGTACCATAGTTCTAAGATATTTTGTAGAAACAGTTTTGAAATTAACATGATGTAATGATTACAGGTAAATATGACAAACATCAGGTATTGTTTGTTACAGTTTAATTTCAAAGGACATTAAAGAGTTGAATATAAAATGGGAATATCAGCTTAAAGCTTGTTGGAAACTTCACTGAAGACAATGGAGCATTAGTTCCCTTTTGGCGGTGCCCAAAATGTTTAGGGAATTGTGAGTATATTAGTATGATTTAAAGGTGATTTCACACAAAAGAATAATTGCAAGGATATGGCTTCTCTTCTAGATAAAGAGGTTCTGTTTCGCACTTGCATAGTTTACCTAGTATAATTTTTTTGGCCCACAGTGGAAGAGGCATAACATGTAAAAGACAAGTGAAAAGTTTCACTGCATAGTTTTCTGAAATCGTTTTTTTTTCTGGATAAATATTTAGTGAGTTATCCATGAGATGGTCAGAGAAACATATAGGTTGCCGTTGCCCTATTTCAGTCAGAATTCTAAAATGTTGACACATTTTAGTAAAACTCCCCATTAAGAAACAAAAATCCATTAACCAATTCTCAAGTGGTTACATGCAGATGGATAGTCTGTGTTCAGTTTTTTTGTTTTTTCTCTCTACCTTTCTATACCCTTGGGCCTATTTTGATCACATTTTACTTGATGGTAGGGGACCTACTTGGGGAGACTTTAGACATTTGAATCCCCCAAAATTTTGGAAAATCCCCAAGACAGTTATTTTGCTTATTGTTTTAAAACCTTTCAACATAGCATAATTCGCAGTAGCATAGTTGGTTTGAGGCACTATGTTACAAGCATGAAGGTTGCAAGTTTGAGTCCCGATGAGGTGGATTTTTTCAGTTTACCTAATCCTTTCAGCCACACTATGGCCCTGGGGTCAAGTCAGCCTCTAATGGAAATGAGTACCAGGAATCTTATTTGTCTTATTTTCTTTGTCTGCTTATTATAGTTTTTGAGATATCTAATTCTTTTCCTCCTTTTTAGAAATTCACAAGAGGAGGAAGATTTATGTTGTAATTCATTCATTTCCCTACAATAATATTACTGTATATTAGTATTACTCATATTAAGATGAACATGATTATATGTGTGTGAATTAACCCCAGGCAATGCCAGTGGATATGTAACTTGTTTTGAAAGCTTTATGGATGATAACTTGAGGGAACAAGACATACATGGGATGTAGGTTATTGGGCTGTGTTGAACTGGTTCAAGATAGGGCCCTCACTTATCTGAGGTAATTGCAAGGCAGTGATAAATTGTCATGTTTGTGTCATAGCTACATCTATCGTTGGTTCATCAGATATGTTTGAAAACATTTCCCTGATGATTCTTCAGTGAAGTTTTCCGAGTGTGTCCCTTCTCTGTCTCCCTTCCTTTGCTGTCCCATAATTGCAGATTATGCTGTCTTGTAAAGTAAATGCCATGCCTTGAAGATGTGGGGGAATGGAGGCATAAGTCCATGCATTCTTAACCTCAGCTCCATGGCTGTTAGGAAATGAGCTCCCATCGCACATTAGATAGGAGTCTGAGTGGACCTCAGTTAATATTCTGCAACACTGATTTCCAGTTTAGTGTGAAACTTCGTGATTTCAGTGTACATTTATGCAGAGATTATGACAGTGGAAAATGTTTGTGATTTCATTGGAAAGGAAAAGATGTTACAAGGACGTGGCTTTGAGAGTAGCCAGAATGCAGCTATTGGTTAATATAGTGCCAAATGTCATTCAACCATTACTCAGGAGTTCTTCATGTCATGCATTGACTGGTTGAAAAGTCACCACATTGAATCTGTCAGCCTATTGTCATCATAGATGGGGTGTATGAAGAGTTCACAACAGTTCCACATTGCATTGCTAATCTGATGCAAATGATAAATTTTGAGGATATGAGTGTTGGAGAAAACTGGCTGAAAGTGTGTTCCCATCTGGAAGTACAATTTCTAATTTGATAAAAACTGTGTTAGTCATGATGTCAGTTCCAGTAAGTAATGTATATTCATATGTGGAGGGCTGTTTTTTTCTCATGACATGATACTGGTATGAGGAGTCAAACCAATGTAGTGAAGAGCTAGTCAATCCTGAAATTCAGATTAAAACGTTCTGCAGATCAAAGCAGTTTTGGGGCCCAGTATGGCCACCTGTGAAATACTTCTACAAAAACCACCAAACAACAGGAAGGAGAGAAAAGGGGAAGGGAGGAATGAATGATTTTCTACACTGTCAAACATAATTAAAATCAGTTTTACTCTTTTGTGCATGAATTCCTATGACAATCAACACTTTCTGTCAGGTATAAAAGATTATATACTCGTATCAGACATTTTAAATTATACTTCATACTACTATTAATTTTTCGTCGTCTATATGCAATGCATTTTTAAAAAATCGCTTCCGTGTTAGTGTCTGACGGATTCGGTCCGTGCTACCCTCTAGTTAAGGTTTTGAAAAAGTAGCGCCTTGCAGTTGTGGAATCTGGCCTCTTTATAAGTAAACCGAAGGCCAACAGGCGAAGGCAGGGATTTTCTTCCTCTTCGTGCCGTTAGCAGAGATCGCGGTAAGTAACGAGCGGTAACGAGCGGGAACGAAGCAGCCGGAAGCAGCGAGAAATAGAAAGGGAGGGGGAATGGATCGTGTTGGTGGAAGAGTTTGTAATGGAATTTTTGACGTGATCTATGCTGTATATATTATTGGCTTTAGGGCCTTTTAAGTGAAAAAGTCTGAGATTTTGACGTTTCGGTTTTCCGAGCCTCTTGAGCGTATCTAATGAACGTAGTGGTTTGTTAGGTGAAAATATGTTGTAGTTTTACTCGAGAGACTTAACCTAAATGAATTGCTTTACTTTCTTTATTTCAAGATAAACGGAAATAATGGCAAAGGACTTTACGCAACATTCCGGAATACCAGATGTTATCGAGAAGTTCAAAGTAATTTTTGGACAAAATGATGGAAGTGGTAAGCAAGTAAGGTGTTTTATAGCTGGCGATTCTAACATGTAATGATGACACTTGGGTTAGCATGCACTGAGTGTGTAGATAATAGGAATGCTGCCCTACTGGGATTTAAGTATTCTCATCCTTTTCTTTGTAGGTGGTAGTTTGTGCATGAGAAGTTGAACCATTTCTGATCCTTAATAACATGTGTTGCATCTGGAGTTGCCTGCCGTCATTATGGTGTAGGATGTTCGAGTGACGCGATTTTAGAATTTTGGTTATAAAAATATTTCAGGCGTTCTTCGGCACCGTGACTTTTATTTTAATTAGTTTGTTTTATGTCATCAGCCATATTTCCACGATAAATGAAGAATTCATTTTGATTATGTATGTAAGCATGCCATTAATGGAATGTGAAAGGACATTCTTCTTTGGTAATCCTGATGAATATTTATTAGAACATCTCTTTTAATCGCAACTGTAGTATGTAATGGGCCAGTGCATGTGGGTAGTAGGAAGTCACTGGTAGCCACTCTATGATGATGCTTCAGTACATGTATCATAGCAGGCATATAGATGTGTGTTATTATGCAGTATGGAATGCTCTTTTGCCTATGTGAATTGGTTTTTACCAGTTTTAGATTTCAAGTATCCCGAGTTTAACATTTGGATAAAGTTATAAGTAGGTCCATGGGCACAACCCAATATATAACATCAATTATATATTCTCTGGTTAGCTTCATAATTCAGTCATAAGAGCCATCATTAGGCATTGTTTACATTCATTATTCACTTCATAGTAAATTTGTACACTGGCTAATGTTTACATTGTCAGATTTTGTGCTAGCCTGGGTTTGAGTGTAAGTGAAAAATTGGGTGTAGGGTTTAACTTTATTCATTCTGGCCCATCACACTGGTAAACTATTATAGAATAATTGATAACACAGGTATCAGTTCAATTCAATTTGTAGATATTTATTGCCTTTACATGTTTTGGTCAGCTGTGACCATCTTCAGGAACTACTGTTAGAAAGCTCATAATATATATTTAGAAGCTGTTATATGAAAATTATTTACAATTATTTGGATTAAAAATCTTATTAATGTCTAATATTTAAGATCTTGAACTGATATGGTTTGTGTCCTTGTGCCTCCTCTTTAGGGTGTTTGTTAAAAGTGTGATGCCAATGTAAGTTGGAAAAATTTCATTTGCTTCATCCTGGTCCATCACACTAGCAATATTGTGGGGGTACTTAGATGCAGATGGGAGGATATTATTGAAGTAGATCTTAAATGAGGTGTGAGAATGTGGACTGAATTGCAGTGTCTGAGGATCCAGTCCAGTGGGGGGGCTGTTGTGAACCAGGTGAGTGACTACCATCTTCACAAGTATGACTCAGCTCCATGGACTTTGATTGTAGTTAACCAGCATGTTATAATAAAATTGTAAAGGAATAACTAGCATGCTATTCTGAAGAATGGACTGAGATAAACCGTGAACAATGAACAGCCAAATTAAACAGTTTCCCAGTACAGATTTAAAACAATTCAATGGAACCTCATTGCAAGGTTGTCCCTCTGTTAACACTGAGTTTCAGTGCTCACAAGTCAGTAATGTCAGTGTTTAAGTATGTTCCATTTAACATTCCCCTCATTTCAGTGTTAGATCTTTAGTAACAGTGAGATGCATGCTTGTGTTATCTGTTGCACATGGGAGTGAGTGTGTTCTTGCATTGCCTGTGATTTGGGTGGGTCTTCAGTGTTCTTCATTACCATTGGAGTCAATTTATAACTGTCTTGCTCCCATGTCTAAAGATGTTAGTTATTTGAGAAATGTCCTCATGCGTCACACATGGTGTGCAACTCGAGACACAATTCGTGTATGAAGTTAAGATGGTGTGTCACCCAAGGCACACCTGGTGTGTGAAGATGAGAAGTTGAAAATAGAATATTTTGCATGAGTTCTATTTCTTGGTACTTATATGGAGTTACTAGGAACATAAAACTAACCTGAAGAGTATGCTTTCATGGGCTGTAATACCATGCAGTTTGGAGAGAGACAAACATTTTAGGGTTGAAGAATCTTGCTTAGTCCTGAAGATGGAGGCAGTGTTTCTCTTTGAACAGTATGATGTTCCAGCTCAGATCATACTGCTTATAGTGGAACCTCATACCCAACAACAGAAACTAACCAGTAAGTTGCAGCTGGACGGCATCACGGCACACGGGCCTAACCTCTGCCTTTAATTCACACGGTTAACTGGTGTGAGAGGGTTATCGGAGATATTGCAGGATCAGAAAATCTTTCCAGTATTGATGATTCTTATATGTGCATGTTTCTCATCATTGTGTGTGATTTTGGTCAAAGTGTGTCTTCCGTCTTGTGTGTTACGAGCAAGAGTACATATTCTTTGTCTGGGATATGGCTCCGTTCCCTGTCAGGGTCACAGTATGGTAGAAGTCCAGTTGTGTGATCTCAGGTTCTCCAGCTTGAGACAAGCAATGGTGAGAATGCAGCGTGCATACGCACATGCTATTGCTGCTGCACATCTCCCTGTTTGCCTTGTTGACACAGTTAGTATTAATTTGTTAGCAGCAGTGAATATGTGCACTCGTTTTTTTTATGTTAATGAACAAGTTATGTAGATATTTGTCCCATACCTTTAATGTTATTCATATTATCTGACTGTCCTTCAGTTCAGTTTTGGTTGGATAATCAGGAGTTTTACTATAAAGTGTCTGAACTTTTAGAGAAGTATGGACTCTGGAATTAAGAAATTCGAGTTTACTCATGTAATTTAAAAGAGATGGTCGGAATGGGGATTCACATCACGTACAAAATCTTAACCACAACACTTGCACACCGTTTTAACAGCGGTGGCTACTTCTCATACTGGCAAGAGTTCGGAGTAATGAGTTTGGCTATTCTGTGTTAGGTCCACGGTAGGAAACGGAACAGAAGAGTTACATTGTTATGTACATTGCACTCCTTCCATTGTATCTCTCCATATCCATTTTAAAAGCTGAAGATCACGTTTTGTATGTAAAACTTTTAATTTCACCTGTGAAAGACTTGAGTTCATATGCAGACAGGGAGGCCATGTTATGGCATTTTCTCTAAATGTTAGTATATTTTTAGGACATGACATCTGCATTTATGAGTTCTGAGATTTTCATGGTGAGAAAGGTGTAGATTATGTGTCTCCTCATCACATAAATATGTGACTATGAATGAGTTAATTAAGCACAGCGATAGCTTTCCCCTTACCATCCAGCTTGGTGTCACTGTATAAAGGTGAAGTTGTACCCATGCTTGCTTAGTTAAGCACTGTGCCATGAAGACACATGGGGAAGTGGAGGTATAGCTCCACCTTTCTTGACCATGGTACCAGATGGAGGTGCTCTGTATAGAGGTATTTATTTTGTTAAAGTGTGGCATTTTCTTGTTTTTCGAAAATACCTAGTACTTGCATGCTTTGACTGAAGCACCGTGCATGTTTAGATGTATGGAATGGTGGACGTGAAACTCCAGCCCTTTATTTTGGTGCAAGTTGGAAGCTTATAATGTAATGGTTTGGAGGTTTTGCATAAGGAGAAATCACTACGAGTGCCCATCAGCTGGAGCACTGCCTGGACACTGGACATGAGGAAAGAAGAGGACCCGTGCTTGTCCCAGGAATCAAATCTCAGTTGGCCTACCTGTAGCCAAACACTTTGTTGACTGGGCTGTCATAATTTGTGTTTGTGGTGGTTACAGGTCAACATAAGAAAATCTTATCGTGCGGAAATTAGCCTGAAAAGTCGCATACAGAATGTGATCATAAACGTTAACAGGCATGACAGATTGTCAGGCAAAGCTGCTCAGAGTTGAAACTGGCAACTATGAAAGAGGCTTGCATAGCAGCAATGCTCTGTACTTGTATTCAGAAGGTACTCAGTTTGAGTCTCATGAAGCACACTACAGACCCTGAATTCAGCCTTTTTTTTTTTCCTTGAGTCCCTCTTTGAAAATGCAGGGCTAGTACCTCAAATTAGGGTACAGCAACTTCCTTCCACGTCCTTTCCAATTTGCCATTCATCTGTCATCCTACCATTTGACGTACTGAAGTCAAGTTAGTGGCAGTGTCACAAAATGACTGACAAAAACTGGTAAGGACATGACATTCCTATGTAAAGTCAGTGGACCTCCGTTCTCTTCATTGGACAGGATATTGGCTATCCTCACTGAGGTATTGTGTCGTTTTTCTGAGTTCCTCCAAGCAAATGACAGGATAGTACCCCAGTTAGGTTCCCTTCCAAACATTTCCCACTCCATTAGTCATCCTCGTTCAGAGCTGCGTAGACTACTTACTTGACACTGTCCTGAAATAACTAATTTTCTTTTTCAGCTTGTACAGATGCGTTTTCTGATGTTTCGGATATTGATGATTATGACGATGATGATTTTGGAAGCACATCAGAGTCCACTTCTGAGTTTGATGACCGGGATCTTATGTTGCACCTGTTTCAGCAGGCCCAGGCCCATGAGGACAGAATAAAGTTTCTTAGAGGTCTGCGGAAAAAGAGAGGTAATGGAAAACAGTCTATTTGAAAGCAGTTCTGTTGCCAGGCTTCATAATGCTCCTCCTGACACTTATGTCTGTTGTTTATTTTGTATACTACCTGAAGCCTGCACACGTTTCACATAAATCTAGGAACCATCTTCAAAAACTATGAGCCATGATAACAAACAAAGTATTTTAGGTGAGAAAGTTGCTCGTTTTATTAATAAAGGGACAGTTGAAACATGTGATTGACAGTTCCTGTCAGCCGAAGGAAAGTGTTACATGCCATTCATAGGATATGGAAAGATGGAAACACAGTGTAGAGATAGAAAGAATGGGAAAAGAATACAACAGAAAGGATGAAAGGACATAGAGAGACAAAAGGTGTAAAGACACTGTAGAGTGAATAGAAGGGAACTGTCATGTTGCAAAGGAGAAGAAGGAAGGAAGGGGGAGATGACTGATGATTGGGGAATGGGGGTAAATTAAAGTTATCGGAAAGCAGCATGGAAGAAAGAGAAGGAGATAAATATGCAAAAGGCATAAGAGAAAGAAATGAGAGAACAGGTGGTAATAATATAATAGGAAGAAAATTTTAAGCACCATGGTTAACTCTTTTGTGGAAATTGTACAGACCTGTACTGACCCATTTTGTAAAAGGGGTGAGTTCCTTGAAAATCATTCATTCAACAATTTACTATACCATGCCATAGCTCAGACAGTTAGAAGCTGGCTTCTCACTGTGGAGGTCTGGGTTCAGTCCTAGGGGACCGATGTGAACTTCACCCAACTTTTCTCACAATTCTCCCTGCTAATCATCCATCACTGCCCCCTGAGGTGTGCCATAGTCCTGATCAGGCAGCGCATTATCACATCCTCAGTTTTTAAGTTAGGGGCTTTATCTCTGGCCTGGCACTTGTCTTGCTGCAGGCTGGGGGAGTTTGCTAATGAGAGATGATACACAAAACATACAAAACTAACTTGTGCACATTTGTGTATGTGTTTATTTACAATATTAACGTGAACAGTAACTCATTTGAGATTTGAGGTTTCACAGCAGCAATTGTTAAGGTGGGGTCTTCTGAGATGTGACAGCATTCATTCTGATATTTACATGGCATTAAGACCCCAGAAGTCTACCATCTTCGTGACTGATTTATACATATCTTGGCAGAGTAACTTCTTGGAAGACTCAGACTCAGGTAACATTAAGATGAAGACTACAGCCTTCTGGGTTGTAATGCTGTGTGGTTTGATAGATGTCTGTAAGTCTGCTCAGTGCTGGTTGTGCCCCAAACTACTGAACTACACAGCGTCACATCCCAGAAGTCATTGCTGTGAGAACCGCAAGTGCATTACTGAGCTGGGTCTCACAGAAAACGGTGTGAAGTCTATGAGACAAACAGATCCAGTGGTGAGTTTTGTTGTTGGTAGGTTGGACGTTTGGGTTCTGCTACTAGATAGTTAGTTCAGTATAGTTTGGCGCTGCTGATGCTGCAGAAGGACGTCGCTTGGAATGTGGACAGTCCTTCATTCCCATTCATCCTGCCCTTGTATTCACATCTGGCATATGCCATGTGGCCCAAAGCGCTTGTTGCTAATGAAGGGTGTCATTACCAACATTTGTGTGAACAAAATGGGCAGGGATTTGGAAGGAGGAGGTTGATCCATAGGACTTTTTTATGACCTCACTATATAGTTAGGTGATTTATAGATATTTGTGTTGATGTTGTCATGTAACAGAAACATTTGCTTGTCCTCCAGGTGTGAATGAAAGGGAATTGCCCATGTTGCTTCCAGAGATTGCCGAAAAGAACGCGGAGGAGCTCGTTGCTGAGGAGGAGCGTGAGAAACGGAAAGTGGAAAAAAGGAAAGCAAAAAAGAAGAGGAGAAGAGAAAAGAAAAAAGAGGAAAAAGAAATAAATTGTGCCAATAGTAAAAGTAAAAATAATAGTAACGGTAATATCAGTAAAAAGGAGAATGTATCACAGTCCAGTAAAAAGATGACAAATAAAAATAGCAAAAGGTGAGGACATCTACAGCTTGCTTTTCCATACAGTTGCCAAGCACCGAATGTCGTTGCTTCATTCGTGTATACTGTGATCTATTTAATTTTTCCAGAAATTTGTGATCAGCGACTTGGGACTGAATGAGAATCGTAATGGACGAAATATAATGCAGGTTAATGATTTGGGATCACGGAGCTTGAACGTTAAATGAGACAAATGTGAAGAACGTCAAATGGGGATTCTACTGTTAACTATATAGCACTTATGGGTTCTGTTGATTCAGTTGTCGGCTCATGTCTGCAGGTGTTGCTATCATTGAAACATGTTGGAACCTCTAATAATTTATTTAATCCACTCAAATGACCACCTCAGAAAGCGGGTTTTCAGTGTGTTAGTAAATGAAATGTTGTATTGTCCACAGTAAATTGAACGGAGACAGTTTTTCTGCGCAGCCAACGGATGAACGCGAAGAGGAAGAAGAGGATTTTCTAGATCCAAACTCTGCCTTTGTGTCTGTTGCCGTTAGCAAAAACAAGCGAAGTTGCAACACGACTGCTATTAGTCACATGGACCGCAGCCAACGAACCAGTAACGCTAGGAAACCTCCAGTAAGTGAGTTAGTGTTCCGTGCTAAATGCAAACACATTTCAGAACCAATCAGGTTGGCATGGCAACAGCTTATAGACTCACATTTGGATGGTGCTTGGTTTTGGTCTCAGCCAAGGCAATGGCTATTGAGACTGAGGTCTTCCTAGCTTTCCTCAGGCCTTCCAGGCAATTACTTGAGTATTACCCCAATTAGGCACTGACCTTCCTTCCATATCATTTTCAGTTCATTGTTTCTACCATCCTACCGTTCAGCGCCATATAGTACAGCTACTTACTTAAACAAAAGAACAAAAGTCCATGGTTTTAGTCTGCAAGCAAATTATACCAACCGAGCAACTGCTGCTTGTCTGCGAAGTTAATACCAACTTTAGCAGATACAGGGTGTCGTGTGGTCAGCGCAAAGATTCTCCATGGCCATTAACCTCAGTTTTCTAGACCGGGGCTTCTGTTTCCTTGAAATAGCTCCTCAGTTATCCTCATGAGGCTGAGTGGACCCTGTTCCAGACCCAGTACTTCTCAGGAAATTTGGTAGAACCAGGAATCTGTAGCCAGGACCTCTGACCACCAGAGCACAGGGGCGGTCTATAGCTGCTTACTTACTAAAATACAGTAACAGTAATGGCATTTAAATAATACAACACAGAACTTTATGTGGACATGATGGGAGTTAGAGCCTTACCTCTGGTGCCATAATTTCTGCTCGAGGATTGCTGGCCTCTTGTAGTGTGGTTGATGGCTACCAACTTGCTGTCACCATCTGCCAGGTGGAAGCTGTGCTATGGATAGTGGGGGATGGAAGACAGTGCCGATTTCTTGACTCAGGCCCCCAGTTTCATGGTGCCTCTTTGTATGCCCATAACACTTTTTTCCATGTTTGGTTTACTCTTCTGCACTAACAATGGAAGCAAGAGCATCAGCTGAAACATCAGCAATTTGAAACCAGACTACACATCAGATCCAGAAGACAGTAGTGTTGATATTCACTGCCACGTGAGCCGCAACTCATACAGGAGTTATATGTAGTTTCGAAACACATTCTTGCCTGCTTTATGCACCTCATTTGCATTGATGTCAGTTTTGGCTCATACAGATCTAAACTGTGTAGAAAACATCTTCATAATTGTGTTGTAAGTAGGTAGCGGCTTACTTTGTTGTGACGTCCCTATAAAGTTATTAGATTCTGTTTTCAGCATACAGTGGCAGACAAACACCGTGCAGGAGATCTCACTGAACACAAAGGTCTTTTCATCTATAAAGTTTGGTACTCAAATTATGGTGTACATTCAGACATGTTTTAGATGAACAGTATCATTACAGAGGGTCATGCCAAGTGTTGCGATGAAGTTTGTAGCTCTACTGGTTCATCTTTTGGGATCCCAGATTTAAATCTGGACCTGTCATGGCTGCAGCTTTTGATGTTTCACAGTTCCTCTAGGAAAATGTTAGGATACTTCCTTCTACATCATTTTCAGTTGACTATTCACTGATCATTGTATCATTCTATGTGGTATTATATGAGATATGGATAGCATCATTAAATAAAACCATTTGGCTGTGTAGCTTCAGAGATGAACCCTGTAGAGAACAGACAGTAGCTCCCTCATGCACTGAACATATAAATACTAAAAGTTTGCAGCGAATCAGAAGTTACTGTCAGGTTGAGATGGTGGTGTGTAAAGTTTGTTGTGTTGCAGGATGCAGAAGATTTGGCTGTAACGGAGAGTGAGAGGTTGGCCGTGGAGGGTTACAACGCAGCAAGCAGAGAGGAGTACACCGAGGCTGTGGACTACTTTACGAAAGCAATACGTTTTGTGCATAATGACCATAGGTTCTATGGGAACCGCAGCTTCTGCTATTGCCAACTGGGACAGTATACCAAGTGAGTCATTGAACATCATGGTATTGTGAGATTTGAGGTTCTGACAGTGGCGAATATTACGGTTACAGCCTTGTGGGATGTGGCTCATGGCTTAAGAGTCCACTGATATTGTATTGACACCATATGCTGAACCAGCCTGTGGGAAGTGATTACTTTGTAGTGTTGGCCATGCCTTCTGGTGATGGTCAGTACTGGACAAAACATGTAAAGGCAAAACTTTTACTTACATTAAACTAGTCACACTTATTATATTATATTTAAGCATCCTGTTGCACTCTACACGATAAATGATACAAGCTCCGTCCCAAGTGCAAACAATATATATTATATTTCCTTGATCTTGTTCCTTCTACACTACATGTTTCGGCCTCTATCGGCCATCATCAGGTGTATACTCTTAACGTTGCTGCCACACTGAACCCAGTCTAAAATTTAACATTTAAAACACAATGTCACCTTTTTCGTATTATCAACATCAATCTCGTTGATATGTGTCTGGTATGTAGATTATATTGCACACGTCAAATTTGATATTCCTGTTGTAGCACTATAAAATCTTTAGTTATGATGTTTTTAAATCACTCTAAATTTAAAATTTAAAATTTAAAATTCTTAGGGTTACTCGCCCTATGTCTAAGTGCTGGCGCGGCTAGTTCTTGTTTCCACACTGTACAGGTGTTANGTCACACTTGTTGGACTTTAGTACTTATTTATATATTAAGAGGTGTAATGTTTTCCTCTCTTGTTTTCAGAGCACTCAAGGATGCAGACAAAGCAATAATGTTTGCCCCACAGAACCCTAAGGGTTATTACAGAAGAGGGGAAGCTCTTCGTGGGTTGAAGGTACATTTTTCAGTTGCTGGGTTGCCTACTTCAGACCTGATGTAGGGGCTCATGAAGGGGGCTTGTGTTACGGAGTGTGACTAAAATAACTTTGAGGGCATGACATCATCAGATAGCAATGCAGATCATTGCATTCTCATTACAGGATTACTAGATGCGTTGGGGACAGAAATCGCCACACTGTGGATCTTATTGAACATACCGGACTTTTCTTTTCTAAGGTTCCTTACTCAAGGCATGATGTACCCCCAGAGGTGTTTTAGGCAGAGAGCAGAAAGGTTGCATTTATTTGATACATATTTTTCTGCTCGTTTCTTGTTCATCGTGCCCAATATTACCCATGTGTTTTGAGGAATGTCTCAGCTCTTGCATCCAGTTCTACGTTCTCAGTTTCATTTCCCGTGAGCCTGTTCCCGAGAGTGCTGTGTTCTATAGATTGTGGAACAGACTACCTCTTGAGAATCTAATAGTTGCTCAGATGTTAAAGAAATTTTGTGCCTTTTATGGATTTTGAAGGTTTGATACTGAGCACTGGTGGAGCCTATCCTGATTCCCCCGAATCCAGTCTGTATCATCCAACCCAGTTTCTTTAAGATCCATTTGCAGTGAAACTCTTATACAGGGTGTACATAAAGTCCGGGAACACTTAAATTATTTATTGCACAAGAACTACAAATTATGCAGACAGAAAAACTCTGAAAGTTTGTTTTTACCTCATAAACTTTCGATGTGGGAACCATGAGTGACTCGGCAGACGTCCACACGGTAATCAAATTCTTGCTTCAACGGCTATGCCTGTTCACTGTCCCATAAGTGTGAAATGTCACTTTGTCGCTAAAAATTAAGTGGTTCACGAACCCATCGTCATCCTCTGTCAGTTGTTGCAACTGACAACAGAACTCAAAGTGCTTACCTTTGTCATTGTCATTTAGCTTATGCAGTAGCTGCAATTTGAATAGCTTGATAGTCAGCTTCTTGCGCAGAACTTTCCACACTGTCACCGGGGGCATTTGGAGTTGACGGGACGCTTGACGCACTGATTTCATCAGACTCCTCGTGAATATCTCTTTTACATGCTCCTCATCCCCTTCGCTTGCACCGGGATGTCCACTCTTTCTTTCTGGGCACAAGCAACCTGTAGCCACAAATTTCTTGTGCTAGTGGTGAATTGCCTTCCTTGTTGGTGGCTTCTTACCATACTTGGTCCTAAACTTTTGTTGCACATGTGTAGCACATTTGTTTTTGTCCAATTCTAACACACACAAAGCCTTCTTGGCACCTGAAGTCGCCACGTTTGCAACTAATGGTGACTATCGGCAAATGACAGAATTACGCGCATTGGCGCACATACAAACTTTCAGTATCTCTTGAAAATGATATATATATGATATCTGTATAATTTGTATTTCTTGTGCAATAAATAATTTAAAGTGTTTCCAGACTTTATGTGCACCCTGTATTTGTTCAATCTGGGATAGTGACTTCTCTTACATTAACTACATTGAGGTTTTTTACTACATGGATATGCAGAGTTACAGCAAGAAACTGTTCATACTTCTGTAAGAGTTTCTATAAATATTGCAATTGAGAAATTTCTTTTTGTAATTTGTTAAAAGTTTTTTCTGCACAAATAAATGCAGTCAAAATGCTGTCCCTGTAACAGGCCATGGAGGCCCATAGGATTGTGAGATGTCGAGGCTCCCACATTTTCTAGACAATCAGTTCAAGGCAGAGAGGTTGTCAGCCATACCCACCATCTGCCCTTTACCCCTAGGTAAATTCCTAGTAGTCATTTCTGTTGGAAGTTGAGTTGACCCCAGAGCCATTCTGTGGCTGGAAGGATTAGGTCAGTTGAATGTTGATTGTTTTGAACATGATTGCACTACATCAAGGTATGAATTGTGGAAGGTGGAGCCTCATTTCTTACGCTAAATGTGCGTTATGTACTATATCAAAGTTTACTGAGTAAGGGAGTAGAAAGGATATTCAGTAGATGAGGATTTCTCTGAGAACACTGAATCAAATGTGATATTATTTTCCCATCTGTGTTATCTTCAGCCATATGTCTTCCCTTCAGTTTTCCCCACCAAAACTCTGTAATATTTATCGTTTCCTACACTAGCTGATATGTATTACAGTGATGTAGTTCTGAGTACAAGCTGTGTTGGACCATAAAGCCACAATTTTTGCGAAGAGACAGGTCTGGACTGTACACTTGGAATTTTTTTTGCCATTACATTCATGACTGGACCACACACCACAAGTGATGACGTGATGATGTCACAAGAGAAGGCAAGGGACGTGATATTGTAGTGGCAGTACCTCTCAGTGTTACCAGATGATTGCTCTGCATGAAGCCAGGCAGCAGACTGACCTGCTTCACCCTCATTCCATGTCATTCAATGAAGGTGACTTGTCCGTGCTTGTTCCTGAATGCGTGCCATCACTTGTTTCGAGATCTGTTTATGTGTAGTAGTGGCTTTACCTTTGGTTTTATAGCAGAATAATGCACTTTGGGTTTATGTTTCAGCAATACAAGCAAGCGGAAGAAGCGTTTGAACGCGTTGTCCAGTTGGATGAGGACTGTGATGATGCAAAGCAGGAACTGGAAACTGTGAAGATCCAGCAGCTTGTGGAGATGGGCTTTGTGGAGGATCAGGCGTTCGCTGCCGTACAGCAGTATGGCACTGTTCAGGTTTGGGCCTTGCCATGCACCTTGCATGAAAATGTTTTCTGTTTATTTAGCCATTCAAAGCGTAGTGGTGTGTACCACCTGCTCTAGCATTAAGGAACTCTTGCAGTTTTGTGCATCATATATTTGGTAACAACATTGTTCCCACAGTGAAGTTGGGAATCATTGTAATTACCATGGTAATCATATCTGCCTAGTGAATTGTCACAGAAATGCTTGTTTGGTGTTATTCGTTGGAGTTGGAATGTGGTTAGTAATGGGTGACTTCACTGTGGGAACAGCGTTTACCCAGCCATTGGTTGCTAATGGACATTTGCAGTATGTGTTTTTGCCACCTCCTGAATATAAGTCAGAAGCATCAAGGCTTCAGGCAATTTGATTTTGAAACCGTATTGTAAATTTTTGGCCGTGTAGTGATATTATGGTTAGATGAAGTGGCTGCTGGCATGCATAAGGAGGAGCTGATGAAACTACATAATTTCAGGCATTGATTCACATATTCTGAACTATCAGTTAAGAGCCACATTGAGTGATAATGTTTGGGAACCATAGATCTGTCGTGTTTGTTACAGTCTTTAAAGGTTTTTCAGAACTCATGGTAATGAAATATCTCTGTGAGATAACCAGATAACATCCTTTTAACATTCTCCCTCATTTGGCATTCAGTTTCAGTGATACCAAGTGTAAAGTTTCCCCCATTTTAAGTTTGTCTCATTGAGGTTCCATGTATCAAATGAATTGTCTGTTCATGTGTCAGGCGGCTGTGGAGGTGCTGACAGCTGAGAGCCCAGCAGCTTCTTTTAACAGTAGTGGCTGCGAGATCTACTACTCAGACGAAGAAGAGGAGAACTTTGTCTCTTCATCTGCAGCTGCATCACAAACTCCGCAAGTCATCGGCAAAACAGCAAAAAAGATGGAGTGAGTATCACTTAGTTCAGTAGGTTGTGTTGCTGTCTAAGTTTTATCAGATTTTTGGATTTACTAGTGCATGATTTGTGAAAGATGCGAGGGAAAATAATTTATCTCACTCTTTCCTTTTTCTTTTGTATCTTTATTTCCTTCACCCCTTTCTCCCTTGTCACTTTCCCATCTGTTTACTTGCTCTTACTATTGTACCTCACCCCCTTCCTACATCCTTCTTCTGCGCATTAAAATAGTTCCATTGCCCCAGTTTTTCTACTCCTCTATCATATTACAGTGGAACCTTGCTTAATGAACACCTCTCATAACGAGTAATTCGCATAATGAGCAAAACAAATTGTAAAAAAATGACTCGCATAATGAGTGACGAGAGGGGAAGTCCTGGATTGTGCGCTTGCTACATCAGTCTGTGTTTAGCACTCGTTCCGCTAGCATCTTAATGTCGCTTGTGATCACACATTTTTCCAAACTTGTGTTCAGACATATTATTTGTGATTTTTTTTGTACAAAGTTTAATAACCCTTGCAAAAATGTCCCTAAAGAAAAAGTCGGAAAAAGACAGCCATAAGAGAATAAAAATAATCGTAGAAATGAAACGTAAAATCAGTGAAAAGCGAGAATGAGGTGTGAGCGTGGCTGATCTAGCACGCACATACAATCGGTCTACATCAACGATTTGCACTATCCTCAAGAACAAGTACAAGATTAAGGAGATAGATGTTTCAAAGGGAGTGACAAGAATATCTGCGCAACAGTTATGTATTCTCAACAATGTTGGAAGGTTGCTCCTCATATGGATAAACGAAAACATCATTTGTGAGAAGGCGAAAGTGATTTTCCCCAACCTTGTCCTTAACAATGTATATATAATTTTCTTTGAATAAACGTTATACATAAAATTTTTTGAGTATTTTTTTTGGCATGGAACACATTATCGTATTTTACATTAATTTATATGGGAAAAATTGTTTTGCATTACAAGTAAGATTCTGGAACAAATTATGCTCGTTAAGCGAGGTTCCACTGTACCTCGTTCCCTTCTCTGTCATATATCTCTTTCCCATCCTTATTGTTATTCTGTCCTGTTATTATTTCTGTCCCATATCCTGTTGGTGTCTTCACCTTATCGTGGTGAGGGGGTTTGAGTATGCCAATTACCCTGAGAGCTATACCAGTGGTAGCATGGCTACTGGCAGGGCCTCCCTTGCTGGTCAGGTCAAAGTGTAGGCATCAGACAAAGAGAGACACCAAAACCAAAAATTGATGCCGGAAGCAGCGTCATCAGCAGCGACTTGAAGCACAGAACAAATGATGCTCAAAAATCTTACAAGATGGTTCAAGTTCGTATAGCAACAGGCGTGACCAGAGTGTTTTGAATGGCTGTTGTACTGCGATGTGGAAAGCAATTGGAAAAAATTTTCCTGGATAGTCTCTTTCCAAATACAGAGATACCAAATGTGGTGTTGGAGAAGGATGGAAGATCAGTTGGACTGATTATGGGAGGAATGAAGAAGTGTTATTTAGAGTCAGTGAGCAGAGGAACATCCTACACAAAATAAGAGAAAGATAGGGGGTGGATAGAAGTGACCAGAAGACGAAGAAGATGACGTAAGAAGATGCTGGATGACCTTGGGGACAGAAGAGGATATTCTCATTTGAAGGAGAAAGCTCTAGATTGCATTAAGCGGAGGAACTGTTTTGGAAGAGACCTGTCATCTGACAGATGATGAATGAAAATGAATCATAGACATTGCTATGATGGAAGACAGATTGGGGGTTTTCCTCTTATCCTAGCAACAGTGCATTGGGCTTTCCAAAGTGTGAAGAAAGTTGCATGTTACATATTCACAATTGTTATGATTCCAGCGCTTTTCTGATGGTGGAGGTAATGGGAAAATAAATTGGGTGGGGCTGGAACCCATTCCCATAGCTGCAAAATTAGCAACTGTCCTCTGGTTGTCTCTAGACACGAGGTACAATATTTTTTTTTTCTTTCCAAGTTTTTCCTGCAGCGTGATGTTTGGGAAAAATGGCGGTACTAACAAACAAACAGACTTTTCATGGAGTTCATAAAATTAACACAAAATGGGATGAGTCTACATTTTCTTATATGTCTCATGTCTGCAATTGTTCAGATGACTGAATTAAATGTGTGTTGTTCCATGATCTCTGTTAGAGCCAAGGAGGAGACAATAACTGTTTAAATTTTAAAGTCTGTTTTCTTACCATTTCAGTCCTACGAATCCAGAAGGCCATTTATCTCTTTGGGTTGGCAATATCACTCAGAGTGTATCAGAAAAACAACTTATAGAAATGTTCTCAAGGTAAGTCTGTGTAACAAGAAGGGACCCTGCAGCAAGTAATGGGGCCTCAGCTTCTCACAAGATTCACAAAAGAATGCTGTTCACTAATTCTTTGTTGAGCTGTTTTGATCCAGTTTACAGCAGTGTTAGCAAGTACCTGGCAAGACCTAATGTAGATGGCAGTGTGGTGTATACACTGATCCTCGCTCTATCTATAAATTTACAAATTTTCCCATCTTCCAGTTGTTTTCTTCTGAGTTAGGAGATTCCTCTGGAATATCAGTAGGTGTCTACCAAACTACATGGTGTAATCATACCCAAGATGACCATGAAGACCACAGATGTCATTTGCCATGAAGAGTTCATGGAGTTTTCTCATTAATTTCCTGTTACCCTTAAGAGCACATAGGTAACTATGTGTACCACCTGCTTTAAGATTAAAATACTCTTCATATTGTCACACGGAGTTTATTTATGGGTTTTTAAACGATTCTCACAATAAACAGCACTTGTTTCCCTAAACTTGTAATGGATGAGCTGTGTTTCCTGTGGGGTACAAACTGAATGTTTCTAAACTATTGATACGAGCTTTTTGCTCCAAATGGTTAAACATATCTTCAGTGCATGAGAAGCTCTCTGTAAGATGATAATTTCCAGTATAACCAAAGTTGAATGAAATATGCACGGTAGAAAGCAAATGAAACCGTACTTCAGATGCAGGTCTGAAGACCGGAAGTGATCTTGGTACTTTGCTATTATAGGTTTGGTGTTGTACTAAGTGTGCGTCTCCTACCTGAGAAGTTTTGCGCGTTTATCAACTTCCGGGATAAGTCGGCGCCAGGCCCTGCTATGAAGCATCTTCAGGGGAAGAACATGGGAGGGGAGCGCCTACTAATCCGCTACCCAAACAACCCAGTTCCTGAGCAGATCGTCCTCAAGAGGACAGTGCCTACAGGGTGAGACAGAACAAAAGTTATGAGTGGAGCAGAATTCATAACGAAGTTGAGACTATATTTAGCAGAAACACTGCTGTAGTTGGGAAGTTACAGTTTGATTTTTCCTGTAATCTGTCAGGAGACTTCCAACATCACAGTTTTCCCTCATAAGTCCACTGTTGGATGCCTTCTGCCACTAACATCATGAATTTCCAGCACATGATTAGTGTTATATCTGTACTCTCTATTTTCCTTCATATATGTTCTGTTAGTTCACGCATGTGAACAACAGATTCCAGGATGGGCATTCATCATCATCATCATCATCACCGGCACGACAGCCCTTTGTGAGCCCTGGCCTTCCTCAGGATTGCTCGCCATTCTTCTCCATTCGATGCTACATTCCTCCAGTTCTTTACACCCAAAATTCTTATGTCCTGCCACACACATTCTTCCCATCTTAGTCTTGGTCTTCCCACTCTCCTATTTCCTTCCGGTTTAGTATTAAGGAATTTCATGATGGTTCTATTCTCGCTGGCACGTATTGTGTGGCCAGCCCATTCAAGCCATTTCACCTTTATAAATCCAATAATGTCTGGTTCATTAAATAGTTTGTATAGCTCATGGTTGTACATCTTCCTCCATACTCCATTTTCTTCCACTGGCCCAAAGATATATCACAGGATCCTCCTTTAAAATATACTTAACAGTCTTTCATCCGATCTTGACAGTGGCCAGGTCTCAGAGGCATAAGATAGCACTGATCTTATAAGTACTTTATATGTCATAGTTTTGGGTTTCCTGGGTATTAGTTGGGATTTCAGGTGTTTCCTGAGGCCATGGAGACATTTATTTGCCGCAAGTACACGCTTTTTTATTTCATCACTGATGTCATTTCTACAGCTAACTTCTGATCCACGGTAAGTGAAACTACATACAGCCTCAAATTTATATGAGCCAATTTCAATATATGCAGGTCCATTAGCACAGTCTTTCTTGGTTACCGGCATGTACTTTGTTTTATTTTGGTTAATTTGTAAATTCATCTTTTATGCTGCTCTTTCCAAATTAAGAAAAGCTTCTTTCATAGATTTTTGTGTTCTACCAATTATATCAATACCATCTGCAAATGCCAAAATTTGAACTGACTTGTAGAATATAGTTCCCCTTGTGCTGATGCCTGCATCTCTAACTACCTTCTCTAATGCTATATTGAACAAAAGGCAGGCTAGGGAATCCCCTTGTCGAACTCCATTTCTAGTTATTATAGGGCTTCACAGCATATTCTGAATCTTAATTTGGCATTGGGTCTTTCTCATAGTGGCTCTGAGTAAGGTGATTGACTTCTGTGGAATGTGCATCTCTTCCATCTCTATCTATGGAGTCATAGGCTGATCAGAAGTCAATGAAAAGATGATGTGTTTCAATTTGGAATTCATTACACTTTTCAAGGACCTGTCGAATAGTGAATATCTGATCGTTAGTTGATCTTCCTTGACGAAACCCACATTGGTAGTCCCCAGTTATGCCTTCCACAAAGAGAGAGAGTCTGTTAAATAGAATGTTGGAAAATATTTTATATGCTATGCATAACAGACTAATTCCTCTATAATTAGAGCATACCATGACATCGCCTTTCTTATGGATAGGGCATACAATACTTAGGTTCCATTCCTCTGGGATTATTTCAGTTATCCATATCTTAACTATTAGCTGATGTAAGTGCTTGGCATATTCTGGGCCTGCAAATTTCACTAATTCTGCCGTGATGAGATCCATTCCTGGAGCTTTATTATTTTTCAATTTTTTGATAGCTTCTTCTACTTCTTTTATGGTCGGTGCTGGCTCTTCAGCATCAAAATTTCCTTGATTCCGGTCTATGGTCATACCTTCCACTTGTTCAGAGGTGTTACTATTTGATAATTCCTCAAAATATTGCGCCCATCTTTCCAGTATTGCTTCATCGCTACTCAACATTGTGCCTTCTTTATCTCTACATAAGATTGTTCAAGGTTGAAAGACCTTTCGACTCTTGTTTAGTTTTTGATAAAACGCTCTAGTTTCGTTTGAACTTCTTAAATGCTCCTGTTCAATCGGTTCTTGTTTATCATATTCCCTTTTCTTCTTTTTATGCCATCTTTTTTCTTTTCTTCTCACTTCATGGTATTCTTCCATGGCCCCTCGAATATGGTTCCTTTGCTGCATTCTCTTATATGCCTGATTTGTTTGATTTGTCACTTGCTCACACTCTCCATCAAACCAATTCTTATACTTTGTCCTTTCCACTCTTCCTAAGACTGCACCAGCAGCATTTATAATAACATCTCTGAGGCCCCTCCAAGCTTCACTGACATCCTCACTATCAGAGAGACCTGCCAGGCATTCACCAATTAATCCAGTATATCTGGTTGCAACTCCTTGTTCCACCAATTTTCCACAATTCAATTTCTTAGCCTGGGATCCATGTATCTTCCTTGCATTAGATATTCGACTTCTAATCTTTGATATTATTAAGTAATGATAAGAGTCAATGTTGGCTCCCCTGTAGCTCCTGACATCCATCAGATCTGAACAAAGTCTTACAAGGATGGGCATTGTCTAGGCCTTTTTTGTATTTACAGTTATTTTTCACAATAAAAAAACAAAGTGTCTTTCTTAATTTTCATGTAGGTTGATCTGTAGTTGGTATGAAAAACATCCTGTGGATAGGTAAGAGATGATAACTTCTTCATGTATTAGGAATACATTTATTCAACTTTAATATACACATTTGGAATTTTATGAATAGTGTTGTAGTTCTGAGATGTTCCCTCACTTATGTTTCTGTATCTCGGAAAGCTTGAGACTCTAGGAAAAATAGTGTTAAGCATGTAAAAGGCTCCACCTTGAAGATGGATGAAGCAAGTTCCTTCCAAGCTGCACACTGTTACATGCAGATGACAGGAACCTTGACGTTGTGTTTTTGTGGCAGAAGTTCATTAAAGGACTTAGCATGCAGTTTTCATTCGCTGTTCTCTTGTTGCAGCATGAATCAAGCGAAGCTCACGGGTCCAGTGAATGGAGATGAATGCCATTTCTGGCGGACAACAGGATGTGCGTTTGGCAATAAATGTCGCTACAAACATATGAAGGAAAACAAAGGCATCGACAGGAAACCATGGCAGAAGACTGTTTAGCCATTCCGCTGAAACTTTGCAATGGTAGCGTGGACTGCGTGTGTGTAAGAATGGTATCTCGCAAGGTGAAGATAAGCTATGAGAGTGAGATGGCTTGTTGCGTGTAGCGTTGTGTGGAGTTTCATAGAGCAGACCAAGATGCAGAAAGTCTTTGTTGTCGCTTGGGAAGGGGAAGCCTGAGGTGCGTCCTCATGCTGACTGAGCGTATGGAATATGGCAGTCAATGTGGGAGTTTGATCATTAATATGCCAGTGCAGACATTCTCCTTTCATGTGTCACTATTAGATTTTCAAGGTAGTTTCATCTCTGAATTATACCTTGTTCATACTTGATAGTGCCAATACAGTGACTGGGATACATGATAGATGATGGAAGATCAAGATTCACTTCCAAGGGATGATGGGTTCTGGTGTTTGCCCAGCCTCCTGTCCAGTGAATAAAGTAGCTGAGGCATGAATATGATCATAACCATCTGATATTGATGTTATGAATGCCTCAAGTTATACCTCCAGTTCCCCATACATCTTTATTGGGTGGTGCTTATTCAGAGGGACAACTGTACTTTCTTCACAGATGATGGTATAGTCACCAAAAGCTAGTATTTATATTTATATTTATATTCCGTCACCTGATGAGGTATGATGAAAGGTAAAGTTGTCCACATTCTTAATTAAGAACACTCCATGAAGATTTATGAGGGAGTGGAGGTGTAGCTCCATGCATTTTTAGGCTTGCCAGTAGATTGAGGTGAGCAGTGAGATTCATGCCTTGGCTATTTACCCCAGGGAAACAGTGCCAAGAACCCATTGAATAGGAGGCTGAGTGGGCCCCAGAGCTGCTCTGGGTACTGTGGAGAAAAGAAAATCTCTTGCCTCTGCCAGGAACTGAACCCTGGTGCCTCTTTTGTCCAGCTTGTAGCTTAGTTACTGTATTATCTGACACCTATACATACATCTTTAGTTCTTCAATGGAGAAAAGGGTTGTAAATGGGAAATAATTTTAATTAATCATGAAAAACTTGGAAAACCGAAGGTCTGTTGATCATTACTGTGCGGCTCTGATTTGTTAGTTTTGTATTGTTAATGGCGTAATGTGGGGAGACTGTATTGCAGCTGTGGCTTTCTTATTTATTCTTATTCAGAATTGTCATAATTATCAGTACTTCCATGGGAGGACTTCCCAGTCAGCCATCCTTAACCCTCTCAGCTACCTTGAAATGCATGTCACACCAAATTTACTGTAGTCCAAACATGATAGACTGAGTGAACATTATAATGAGAACCTCACTGTCGTGAGAAAAGTCGTCAGCACCGTGTATGTATAATGTTATGATGCATGCAGATTGAACCCCATTCTGTCGATCATCAGCATCTCTTCTGGGGGAAGCCGGGGACAAGCACCAACCCTACCTTACTCTTTCATTCCTTGAAATGTATCCTGCTTATATGATACAGATTTTTTAAACTTTGCTTTGTCTTTTTTAAATGTGTTGGCACATATCCTTTTGTAAAAATGTGTCATAGTTTTCTTTATTTGAAATATTGTGAGCCTTCTCATAGTCTGTTAGTGGAATATACTCTGAAGGTTAAATTCTCTTCCCTTTTCAATAATTTATTGGAGTATGGAATCTCTTCCCTCTGTAGAACCTTGTGGTCTGAACATGTTTCGCTATATTGGGTGCAGTTGTAAGTAAATGTACCTAGCAGTTTTGATGTATTTTACAGTGATACGATACTTCTATATGATTTGTTACAGTTATTTTTTTTTTTTTTGTGGATACAGGTATGTCTAATTCCGTTTCCCCTTTTTTGGGTATTTTGCCTGACATTATTGAAAAGTTAAACAATTTCTCTTTTAATGGGTGTCTTCCTTATTTAAAATATTGTAAATTTAAATTTTCCCATCTTGGACTTTTCTCTCTTTTAGCTGCTTCTAGTACATTACCCATCTCTTCCAATGTTAAACTATCCTCATTTTCCGAGATTCTGCTGTGTCCAGTCCAATGAAGTTCCAATTTAGTGTCCTCCCATTTAACGGATGCTTCTTTTGCTCCTAGCTGAAGCCCAATGTAAACAAGAAGTTCTGGGGAGAGGTAATTGCCTGCCCACTGAGCTATCCCAGCTACTAATCAGGCCTGCACTCAGTTATTGGGGTCTGATAGACCCTCATGGTCCTAGTGCCAGTGGCAAGTCTGACATGCCCTGTGCCATTACATAATTTATATTAGGTATGAGATTATCCTCTGGGATGTGATGCCGTGTAGTCTGGTAAAAGTTTGTTGACATTTTTGAGGGAGCTTGTGTTGATCTTTGGGGTCAACAGCTAAGCCAAGCGACGGGCCAGCTGCTTTGTTTCTAAAACATTTTCTCAAGTCCATGGCTTGTATATTCAGTGAAATCCTGATTATGATTGGTCCTTCAAGGGCTTTATGTAATATGTGAGAATGAATTAGTGGAGGCGTTGTCTCAGGAAACTGCAGCTAGAGATGGGAAGTGTCAAAGTTTGCCATTGGATTTTTCAGCACAGATTTCTCCAGTAGTTCATAAATACATATACAACAGTCCATATACAAACCCCCAAGAATACTTAATTCCCCATTGCTGCATGTCCTATATTGGAAATGCAGAGGCTTGTCTGTTGCCATGTGGAAACTCCTTTGTCTGAAATATTCATAAACTATCCCATCTCAGTGTGATGTGACACAAATATCAGCAAACCACTGTGAAAGCATAGGGTCACAGATTAGTTAACCATGTATTTAAAACCCTTTAATGCTTCTGATGATAAGTTCTCGTGAAGGTTTCATCAAAACTGTGCTCTGGACTTATTGAAATGGAATTAATCCAAGTTGCAAATCATGGTCTAGAAGTGTGGTTATGTGGAAATGCAACTGCATGACCTGGCAGTACAAACAGAACTGTACTCCATGTCTTTTTTCCATGGTGAAAGTATAGATTTTGGATGCCTACTGAAGCAGTGAATCTAGCCCCTTTCCCAGTGTGTGGATACAAAAGTAAGAAACACCGTAATGTGTAAGCTACATTATGCATACAGCTGATTGCAAAGAAGACATTCTTGATTTTGTTGAATGGTGAAGGAACAATATATGTTGCTCATATTCCAGTTCTCTAGTGCTTTGGAGTTGGATATTGGCCGCAATGAATATTTCCTTCTCTACTTTATGTGTACTCAGATGTGCACGGCAGTTCCTTGAGGAACAAAATGTTGCCCAAATAAAAGATTCCAGCTACAGCAGAAATGTGACACTACATGTACTTTGTTTAAAATAATCATACGCTCCTGATCTATTGACTGGACATGGGGTTTGGATAGGAAATTTGATTTATTTAACACTTCAAAATTGTAACTACTTCTCACCATAGTGCTTTTACTAATTCACACACTCAGTTTCTCACTGTGGCACACTGTGGTAACAGATCCCTTCTTCTCATGTCATTACAGGCTGGTGACAACCTCACAACTAACTAACTCAGTTGTTGACTTTCAGCTGCTACAACTGGCCTTCACAGGTCCTTGCTATATAGCCTCAGATTGGACATAACAGAAAACACAGTTTTCAGCAGTTCTTCCCTTGTTGCATATGTTACTGCTGCCATGGTTGTGTTGTTTACCAGCTCTTGCATAGCAACAGATCCCTGTTTAATGGCATCATCACATGTTCACTGTGGCGTAACCTAGCAAGAGACAATTTCTTCTGGTTTTCATGCCACAATACCTTAAATTGGCAGCTGCATGGGAGAGATCTCCTGTTTGCTCAACAAGATCTCCTGTATTGTAATTCTGATTCCCAATGTATGTTGAAAGTAGAATCTAGTGCTTTCTTACAATGACATGGTGATGTCACTATCTGGTGATGAGGAACCCTCGGATGTGTTTGAGATACATGTAGATACATTTTATACAAGGAAGGGTGGGGGAGGTGTTATGTGATGTATAATGTAAAAGGCAATTAATTACACAGTGAAGAGCTTTGTTACTTGCATGCTTCACCCAAACATTGTCAATGTGATAGACCTCTGTATTTGTACCATAGGGAATGTAAATCCCCCATACAGAATGCATGATCTGGGACACTTCTGTTGCTAGGCTAGTTATGCTGTGCACATTCACCATCACAGCAGAGATACACAAAGGATGAGGTTGAGAAGGATGGGGCATGTAGCATGCATGGGAGATGGGAAATATATACAAAATTATTACAGATATGTTTTTGGACATTAACCATCATTGTGTCTTTATCGAAAACTGTCTTGATTATTTTTCAAAACGCAGTTTTTCAGAAACTGGATTCTGTCTCCGTCTTCAGGTAAAAGCTACTCAGTTGGTCCCTATCTCCAGAGATAGAGACTAGCTCTATTGATTGGACCCAACTGAGTAGGTTCTACCTGAAGACGGAGACAGAATCCAGTCTCCAAAACCTTGTGTTTTGAAAAATAATCAAGACAGTTTTCGATAAAGACACAATGATGGTTAATGTCCAAAAACATAATATTTGTACTATTGTACCATCGTCACAAACTTTTACATCTTATTTATACAAAACTGTTGTAAGAAATCTTCCTGAAGGAGACCACTTCAGAGACACAGATGTAAGTGGGAGCGCAATAGAGTGATGTGTGAGCGAGATGAGAAAATTATGTAGAATTGAAGTATGAATAGTTAAGTAAACTGAATCTTGGTGGAACTTAGGAGTGAGAATGACTGGACTGACTCAAGACAAGGTAAAATAATGGATAACCCTTTGGGTTTCATAAAAGTGGGGAAATTGACCCTGGAATTATTTTCATTAAGGTTTGCTGTCTGTGTGGTGGGTTAGAGCAGATATTCTGAATGTTAGAATGAGCTCTGCTTGGCACATTCCACCTCATTTTGCCTTCATCAGATCGTGTCACAGTTTATAGAAGTATCCAGTGTGTGATACATGGAACATTTAATACTACAGAAAAAAGCAAAACATTTTGTGGCAAATAACACATATATAGCATTGTCATTAAGCATTGATCATGGTAATTATCAACGAATTGGGTCATTTTTTGGCCCATTTGCAGTTCATTTTTATCTATAAATATCATCCATACTCCACAAATCTATTGAAATTTTCATGAATTTGGGAAATCTGCAATCCATAATTATATCCATAAAAAAGCCAGTTTCATTTTTCAGGCAACATCTTTAGTAACTGAAACATTTTTTCATGACTGAACATCTTGGTTGAGTGGTTAGTGCCCCTGTTTCTTAAGCAGGAAGTTCCAGGCCCAGGAACCAGATGTGGTTGCTGAGATATTTCCTAGTTACATTCAGTACCTTCTGCCAAGTCCTGGGATTGTACCCCTTCACATTTGTTCATTTATTGAGCCTGCCACTGGAGCTACTGACAGTGCAGTTAAATGAACCATAAATAAAAATAATTTGAATATAGTGTAGCAGAATATGCTGTGAATTCAAGGGCAGTGTTCATCATTCCTGAATCTGACTGTTCAGCATCTGGTTTCATTGCAAAAAGCATGATTAAGGACTTCCTTGAAATCTGATTTACGTTTCATTCCTTCTGCAGTGTTGGCAACACAAACAGTGGTTAGTACATCTGCTTGAAGTATAATGAACTCATAAAGTAAAATACATGGATATTTATTAGTCAAATATAATGTATACAATTTTTTACACTGGAAGTTTAATTGATAATATTAATGATATAATACAGGTACATACAAATGAATGTGGACCTTTTAATTTACTTCTTTACAATGTAATTGAACAGTATAAATTATATTATTTACAAGTGTCTGATGGTATTGTTTATATAATGAATTTTGGGTCATGTCCCACCTGAATGTTGTGCAATGACTTGACTCTCGCAGGTTTTGTTTAATTAATTAAATGTTTACATATTGAAATAAGATGTATCCCTGTTTTTCAAACTGTGAGATGCATACAGATTTTGAGATGATGATGCCAATGATGGTTTTGTGTGTAACAAAGTATGCATTGAACTTCAGCCTTTTCATGGCCAAACCCAAATATACTTACAGGAACTGAGGTTCACAAAGCAGCGGTTATGAAAAGTTCTGTCTTTTTGGATATAGTGCTGTGTAGGAACTGAGGTTCACAAAGCAGCGGTTATGAAAAGTTCTCTCTTTTGGGATATAGCGCTGTGTAGGATCTGAGGTTCACACAACAGTGGTTATGAAAAGTTCTATCTTCTGGGATATAATGCTGTGTAGTCCATTGAAAGTCAAGCAATATGTTGTCTCGATGTTCAGGGTCAAATAATAAGCCAAGCAAAAATCCAGCTTGAAGCAAGTAGCAAGCACTGCATAATGAAAAAGGAAATGCTTACAATATTTTGGGTGGAAAACCTCATTTGAAGAGACTGATTAGGCAATCAGGGCGCTGTTTGGATGACAGGATTAGAAAATGGGTTGCAAAGGTTTGAACTGGTTCAGTGAGTGGCTTTTGTGAAAGCAATGGTGAACACTTCTTGTAAGTAATGATACTCATCCAGTGGAATGAGAAATGGCATGATTGTAATGAATGTCTGAGAGATGGATGTAAAGGGAAACAGCTGTGGCTGTCTTGATACCAGTTATGAGGGAAGTATTTTACAATATTCTGATAGAGTTTGGGATACCCATGAAACTAGTTAGGTTGATAAAAATGTGTTTAAATGAAACGTATAGTAAAGTCTGTGTAGGTAAACATTTGCCTGATAAATTTCATATCCAGAATGGTCTAAAACAAAGAGATGCTTTATCGCCATTTTTTTTCAACTTTGCTTTAGAATATGCCATTAAGAAGGTCCAGGGAAACCAGGTGGGACAGAAATTAAACGGGACACATAAGCTGTTGGCCTATGTCAATGATGTGAGTCCACTGGGTGATAATATAGTGCCATAAAGAAAAACACACAAACTTTAATTGACACAAGTAAAGAGTTTGGTCTAGAAATAAACACAGAGAAAACTAAGTATATGTTGCTGTCTCATCACCAAAATGCAGGTCAAAATCATGACATAAAGATAGGAAACAGATGTTTTGGAAATGTGGCACAGTTCAGATATTTAGGAACAATGATAACAGATCGAAACCTGATTCAGGAGGAACTTAAGAGGCGATTGAACTTGGGTAATGCTTGCTATCATTCAGTACTATTCTTGTACTATTCGCCGAGTACAATTAGAAAGCTCAAGTGAAGGAGGATAAGGTGGGCAGGTCATGTAGCACAAAAGGAGGAGACGAATGCTTATAGGATATTGGTGGGAAAGCCAGAAGGAAAGAGACCAGTGGGAAGACCAAGGCGTAGTTTGGTGGACAATATTATAAATGAATAATAGAGAGATGGTATGGATTGGATATATCTGGCTCAGGATAGGAACCAGTGGAGGGCTCTTGTGAACATGGTAATGAACCATCGTGTTCCATAAAATGCTGTGATTTTCTTGAGTAGCAGCAGAATTGGCGGCTCCTCCAGAAGGGCTTAGCTCCATGAGTAAGTAATGCATTTTTCTCACTGCAAAATGTTAATGTGAATTACGCGGCGGCCACGAGAACTGACGCGAGAGACTAGGAAAATGTCTGTCGTGTACCCGGATAATAGGATATTGTAGGAGGTATTTGAGTGATCAGATTGATTTTGGTTTAGAAATTTTTCCTACTGGCTGCAAGGAACCGGAGCTGAAATTGAAGTCATAATAGCGATTTTATTCGCACTCGTTCGTTGAATGTCGTCAGTAAAAGAAGCATGCCATATCAAGAACGAAAGCATATGAAGCCTAAATAGGAATTACAAACGCATTAACTACGAAATATCTAGTAATTAAGAAAATCGATTTTATTCTACAAACCATCCAGATTACTGAGATCGGGTTTAAAGTAATCTCAGTGCCCTAGGTAATAATTTGAATTCAAAAGCATTTTCCTGTAATCATCGTGATATTTATTACGCCAGTTTTATGAGGTTAATTCTCTAACTTTTTATTAAGCTATTATTTTGATTCTGAGAGTTGCTGTTATTTCACGATTACCTACCAGAGTACACTAGTATCGAGCTTTGGGGAGCTAGATGTTGCTAATAGTTACGCACTCTACCACGAGATTGCACTACATTACAATTCCGGTAGGTGGGGGTGATACATGCCGTGTCAACTTAGAGAGGGTTGTGAATTTCACAGCTCATGTAGTAGACCGGAAAAGAATAGCTGATGTAATATTTGGAGAGTAAACGTTGCGAATATATTCAGAGATTTATACAGTGAGACGATCCACAATACATAATGAAATGATCACTTGAAGCACAAGTATTGCATCGTCTGGATATTTTATATTATAAGATTTTTTATAATGAAGTTCATAATAAGTTTTGGCTTCCGTTTTTTATTAATAAAATTAATGTGGAATCAATTGCGTTCTTATATATATCTATCGTATATATCTTTTAATATTGGTCCGGAATGCATTTTCTCACTGCCAAATGTTGTATTTGGTGGTGAATGACGAAGCGGCCACGAGATGGCAGTAGTCAACCTTGCTTCAGAAATGACGCGAGGAACCAGGAAAATGTCTGTCGTGTACCAGGATAATAGGATATAGTAGGAGGTATTTGAGAGTTCAAATTGATTTTGGTTCAGAATTTTTTCATACTTGCAGCAAGGAACCGGAACTAAAACGAAGTCATAATAGCGATTATATTCTCACTTGTTCATTGAATGTCGTCAACAAAAAATGATACCATATCAAGAATGAATGAATATGAAGCCTAAATAGGAATTACAAACACACTAACTCCAATATACACAGTAATTAAAAAACAATCCATTTTATATTACTTAAATCATCCGGGTTAATGAGATCGAAGTTTAAAGTAATCTCTGTGTTTTAGGTAAATATTAGATTTAAAAGCATTCCCCCATAATAATCGTGATATTTATTACACTAGCTTTATGAGCACAATGCTCTTTCCTATTCTTAAGTAACTCTTTTGAGTCAGCTAGTTCCTGTTATTTCAGAATTACCTACCAGAGTGCACTACTATCGATGTCTAAGTGGGGGGGGGAGTTGGATGTTGCTAATAGTTACGCTCACTGCCACAAGATTGCACTACAGAACAATTCCGGGGGGTGGGGTGTTGATGCATAGCCTTTTAACATAGAGAGGATTGTGAATTTCACACCTAATGTAGGTGACGGGAAGATATTACCTGATGCAATATTTGAAGAGTGAACGTAATGAATGTATTGAGAGTTTTATACAGTCAGAAGATCTACCATACGCAATGAAATCATCTCTTGTAGCACAAGTATTGCATCGTTTGAAAAATGCCTCTTCCTGTAACAAGCTGATTTTTTTGGAAATACGTTCACGATAAGTTTTGCCTTCCTCTTTTATTAATGAAATTAATGTGGAAAGAAATTCGTCGAGATGTATATTTCTATCGTATATTTCTTTCATATTTAGTATTGGTACGTGATGCATTTTCTCGCTGCTAAATTTTGTATCTGGTGGTGAATGAGGCGGCGGCCACGAGATGGCACTCAAAACTTGCTTCAGAAATGACGCGAGGGACCGGGAAAATGTCTGTCGTGTACCAGGATAATAGGATATCGTAGGAGGTATTTGGTGCTCCAATTGATTTTGGGTCAGTAATTTTTCATACTTGCAGCAGGGAACCGGAACTGAAATTGAAGTCATAATAGCGGTTTTATTCGTACTCGTTCATTCAATGTCATCAATAAAAATAGATACCATATCAAGAACGAAGGCATATGAAGCCTAAATAAGAATTACAGAGGTACTAACAACGATTTACCCACTAAATAATTCACAATCGGTTTCATCTTATTTAAGCCATCCAAATTACTGAGATCGAAGTTCATAGTAATCTCGCTGTTCTGGGTAACAATCAGAATGCAAAAGCATTTCCCCATAATAATCTTAATATTTATTACACTAGCTTCAAGAGCTTATTTCTCTTTCCTTATATTAAGTTACTCTTTTGATTCTATTAGTTGTTGTTATTTCAGGATTACCTACCAGAGTATACTACTATCGATGTTTTGCGGGAGTTGGATGTTGCTAATAGTTACGCTCTATGCCACGAGATTGCACTACATTTTAATTCCGGTGGGTGGGTGATATAAAGCGTTTCAACTTAGCAATCCTCTTTAAATTGACATGCTATGCATCAGCTCATCCAACGGAATTTGTACGTAGTGCAATCTGGTGGCAGAGGGTATAATTATTAGCAACATACATCTCACCCCCAAGCATCGATAGTAATGCACTCTGCTAGGTAATCCCTGAAATAACAGCAAATGGCAAAAAGAAAAGGGTAACTTAATAAAAAGAAAGAGAATTAAGCTCCTAAAGCTAGTGTAATAAATATCACGATTATTATGGGGGAATGCTTTTGAATTCTAATTTTTACCTAAAACACAGAGATTAATTTAAACCTCGATCTCAGTAACCTGGATGACTTAAGTAAGATAAAATCGACTGTGAGTTAATTACTGGATATATCGAAGTTAATGTGTTTGTAATTACTATTTAGGCTTCATATGCATTCATTCTTGATAAGGTATCCTTCTTTGTTGACGACATTCAATGAACAAGTGAGAACATAATCGCTATTATGACTTCGTTTTTGTACCGGTTCCTAGCTGCTAGTATGAAAAATTTCTGAACCAAAATCAATTTGAACTCTCAAATACCTCCTACTATATCCTATTATCCTGGTACACGACAGACATTTTCCTGGTTCCTCGCGTCCTTTCTGAAGCAAGGTTGACTACTGCCATCTCGTGGCCGCCGCGTCATTCACCACCGTATACAAAATTTTGCAGTGACAAAATGCATTACGTACTAACACCGCTCTTTTCCAACCCGCCTTTGCTTGTATCGGCGCAGTCGGAATGGTGTTATCCCTGCTACACCTGTTTCTACCTTAGGACAGTGTATGATGGCCACTGCAAGTTGTTCTCACAGATAAAACTAAGGAAGATAGGTATAGGTACGGGAAACTAGCTGGGTCGGTTTGCATGAGTCTCATGGTAGCGATGCCGAAGAAAGCGTTTTTCTGAGAGTTGAGCCAATTGACGTTTATTCACCTGCTAATTCACCACACTGTTAAAATAATGTATTCTTAGCTTTACGTTACCGCGTTACTATCGGCAAGCTATGTCTCGGAGCGTGCAAAGGTCACGTCCGTTCAGTTCGGAATATTGTGAAAGTCTCTCCTTTTGTGGAATGGCTTGCACCCCCACCCCGGGAATTCGAAAGATGGTGTTTTCATATACATTTCATCCCATCTTCCGTGGGAAGCTTGAACGAGGCAACCCAATCATGCTGGCCCTCATTCACAGGCAATTGCAACAAGCTCTGACCTGTCCTTTTAGTCGCGTCCGGTTCCTTGTACCCGAGCTAAATTTATGACTTATCGTAAATGTTATAATTCCGGACTTCTTGTTTCTGCCGGAATCTGAAATTTTCAACGTAAACACCGTATTGCACGTCCCAGACGATGAAATACGATATTATAGATCACGATACATTTCCAGTAATACCGAAACATAAGACTTTTGAAATTTAAATTACCGAGAATTAATTAGAAATAAATTTCACGTTCATCTGTAATCATCCAAATAAATAAGGGCTCAGAATGATCAGCGTCAGTACCAATATTAAATATGAAAAAAATATACGATAGAAATGTTCGTCTCAACGCAATTGTTTCCACTTTTATTTTATTAATAAAAAAGGAAGCCAAAACTTGTCGTGAACGTAATTTGTTACAGGAAGAGAGACTTTTCAGACGATGCAATATTTGTGCTTCGAGCGATGATTTCATTACGTATTCTGGATCTTCTGACTGTATAAGTCTTTCAATATATTCGTTATGTTTGCTCTCCAAATATTGCATCAGCCAATATCTTCCGGTCACCTACATTAGCTGTGAAATTCACAATCCTCTCTAAGTTAAAACACTATGCATCACCCCACCCACCGGAATTGTTATGTAGTGCCATCTGGTGGCAGGGTGCGTAACTATTAGCAACATCCAACGCCCCCCCAAGGCATCGATAGTAGTGCACTCTGGTAGGTAATTCTGAAATAACAGGAACCAACTTAATCAAAAGAGTTACTTAATAAAAGGAAAGAGCATTGCTCATAAAGCTAGTGTAATAAATATCACGATTAAAATGGGGAAATACTTTTGAATTCTAATTTTTAGCTAAAATAGCGAGATTACTTTAAATTTCGATCTCATTAACCCGGATGGCTTAAGTAATATAAAATTGGTTTTTTTTAATTACTGTCTATATTGTAGTTAGTGAGTTTGTAATTCCTATTTAGGCTTCATATGCATTCATTCTTGATAAGGTATCCTTATTTGTTGACGACATTCAATGAACAGGTGCGAATAAAGTCGCTATTATGACTTCGTATTTAGTTCCGGTTCCTTGCAGCTAATATGAAAAATTTCTGAATCAAAATCAATTGGAGCACCAAAATACCTCCTACGATATCCTATTATCCTGCTTCACAACGTTCACAACAGACCTTTTCCCGGTCCCTCGTGTCATTTCTGAAGCAAGGTTTGAATGCCATCTCGTGGCCGCCGCGTCATTCACCACCAGATACAACATTTAGCAGCGAGAAAATGCATACGGTATATATATATATATATCTGAACGCAGTTCATTCCACATTTATTTTAATCATATTAAAAAGGAAGCCAAAACTTATCGTGAACGTAATTCTAAAAAATCTAATTTGTTACAGAAAGAGAAACTTTTTCAGACGATTCCATAGTTGTGCTACAAGCGATGATTTGATTACGTATTGTGGATCTTCTCACTGTGTAAGTCTCTGAATATATTCGCAACGTTTACTCTTCAAATATTGCATCAGGTAATCTCTTCCGGGCAACTACATGAGCTGTGAAACTCACAATCCTCTCTAATTTCAATAAAACAAGGATACCATAATATCAAGAACGAAATTACAAACCCACTAACTACGATATACCCAGTGGTGGTAATTATGAGAGGTTAGTAGGTTTACTGCAGGAATTTTGGCATGGTTGTATTATTATCCAAGTTGTCATTCTTCAAAGAAGAATATTTTATTGTGTGCTTTGCCTGAGATATGGGTGACATAACATTTACAAACAAGCAGAATCTACACATTATTTGTCTAGACAGTCTGAGGCAGTCACAGCTGCATGAAGTCTTGCCTTTGAGATATATTTATTTATTTACTTCATATCCATGGATCATTATAGATTACGAGTATATAGGACAAGTCAAATACTTTACAATAAAAAATAAGAATAATAATATAATTATACAATAATATACTAAGATAATACAATGATGAGTCTAATAATAGAACTAATATAATCGTTTAACACACGACACCGCTGTACGCCTCAAGACCCGATCCTTCTATCCCGGCAAAAAATATCCTGGTATCCTCGATCTTGTTCCTGTAAGAAAAAAATACAGAACAGGGCAGTAGGCAATCCTATAACATTATTAATATTAAAATCTACAAATTAATTATTCCTGTCGCTATACTGACTGAGCTATCAATCCAGTTTAAAATGTACAAATATTGCATTATCTGTGATCAAAGTTCAAAATTAGGGAGGTTTACACGATGGTCAAGACAAGACGAAGTAAGCAAGCAAGACTAATTAGGGAATTTAATATACAGCATTGCTTTACTTTTTCAGAGATGATGAAAAGGTTGGGCATCGCGAGCGCTACAGTGGTCCAACTTCAGACTTCAAAGAGGAGGAGGAGGAGGGCTACAGACCACATGTTTAACTCGACTACACAGATGGTAACGGACATGTGCTTAATGCAAAGGAGACTTTCAGGTTAGCACAGCTAACAGCATATCTGTTTTTAAGATATGTCGCACAGTGGAGGGTAGCCTGTCCAGTGGTAGTACATACTTCAGGGGAAAGAAGTTCTCACAGTAATAGCCATTTTATGAAAAAAATTCCAAAAAGGAAGCAGTTTTTCAGTGGAAACGGACAAAATTATGGGACCACCGTGTTTATCATCCATCTGTGCTGTCCTCACCATAATGTCTGAACCAACTGATGGATTTATGTGAAACCCTGCATTGTCATCGTGCCACTCACATGTTCTTTCAGTTGTCTACCAGCAGCCATATTAACATGGCGACTGAGCTGGGAGCAACACTAGAGCAACTTAAAGTAGGTCCTTAAGAAAAAGGTCCTGGGATAAGCTGTTATACCCATTCAGAAGATTCTGAGTTTGATCCCCACTCGCATCTGTGTACAGATTTTTCTGCTCACATATGATGCCTTCACATCTAACAGAGGTAAAGCTTTGGGAATACAAAGGCTACCCCCCCCCCCAATGTTAAATTCTAAGGTCTCTCTGCTGACCAGCACTATCATGATTACCCTATCGGGGGGGGGGGGGAGATTATTGTCTCCACCTCAGATGCTTTCAGTAGAACATTTTTTATATATACATGTTGTTTTGACTTCATTTTCTCCCATTCTGTATGTGACAGTTTGTAACTAGCCAACGTATTGTGACATTTGAGCATGTAAATAAATACTTTGTACTTGATACAGTTTGTTGTGTAGGCATAGAATGTGGCAGAATGGTTCATTTTGCAGATAGGTTGCATGAATTAGGAAGAAACATGCCTCAAAATTATTACTGTCCCATTGTACTTTTATTAAAATATTTTGTGTTAATCATTTCAATCCCTACGACTTTAATGGGCTGTAGCATGCCCATTTCTGTTTGTTGGCTGTATGAGTAAGTTGTGTTGAAAAACAGAATGTTACATATTTTTATAATTACACAAAATAACAGATTGAACTAAATATGGATCATACCCCTATTTCTGGCTGGAACTTCAGGATGAAAGGATGTTCCGTGTTATTTGGAATCTTGGTCACATTCTGTAAGATCCTAAAATACAGTGACTTTAATGTTGTCTCTCTTTCTAATTTCAGATACCTGTCTCATAAATTTCATGGAAACAGACCTGGCAGAAATAAAGCAGAGAAATGAATGAAGAAGAATGAACAGGAAGGAGTGAGTATCAGTCCAGACCTGGTCATGAGCTGTTATTTGTAACTAGTACTGTATTGTAGCACCCTCCTGCACTTCATTTACTGGCAGATGGTTTCACAGTCTTACGTGCAGCAAGTCCTTTTATATAACTTACTAAAAGTTATTCAATACATGTTTTGACTTTAGGGTCATCATTAGGTGTTTTAAATTTATAAATTATAAATGAGGAAACCGCTGTGCTTCCATATTGTTGATGTTTGTAATTATTGTGTGGTCCCTTCTATGCGCATGAATGTATGAAGTGGCAGGCTGTTCTGCCTGCTGTGTTATGCTGTGTAACAGAGCAGACAGAACAACCCGCCACTTCGTTTATACATGCACACAGAAGGGACCGCACAGTAACGACCAACAACCACAATATGGAAGCACAGCAGTTTCTTCATTTATAATTTATAATTTTAAAACGCCTGATCATTACATGTCCATAATTTCATATAGCAGATAGATATCCATCCACACTCTTTGTGCGTTCATTTTCTTCTGACTACAAACATACACAGTAGCTTCAGTCTCTGAACAGAACTGAATACGGCAACTTTGCGGCAAGTCAGATGGAGCCTTCTCATAAAACACAACATATTTGTTCAGTTGTAATTAGGCTAGCAGACATAGACAGAGACCATGGTTTGGAAACTGGGGGAAATTGATGACTTCAAATAGCAGACTAACTTAATATTTGGCCAGCTGTTAGGATAATCAGTGACAGGAGCTGCGGATATTACAGAATGTTTAAGGGCAAACAGACTATGCACCATCTGAAGGAGATTAATTCTTCTCTTTTTGTTTCCAGTTGATGAAACAGATGAGCTCAACAGACACCAACTTGGAATGCTTAGCCTCTTGCAGCAGAAGCAGAAAGAAATGCAGTCTCCATTCGTGGTCCTTAGTGGCGGTAAACAAACATGAATATGCTTTTTGTCTGCATTCACTGAAAAGAACGAATTCTAATTAAAAGAAATTGTATTCATTAACTGACAGACTTAGACACAAGAACACAGATTACTAGATGAAACCAGTGAACTCAGTTCAAAATTTGTCTAATCTTGACAGTGCAAATAACAGTAATTCATAGCTTTAACTCAAAGGCTGAGTAGATGGGAAGCCATATAGTAATGTTGATAATGTCATATGGTGATTATACTGCTGCAAAGTAAATATTTGTTTTTCTCTGAGCATGTCACTTGTCTTGTTATAATACTATAATACTATAAAGTGTCATTTTAATGATGGATTGATTAATAAGGCTTTCCTCCTTGGTACTGTGAAGCTTTACTAAAAATTTATGTTTTTGATGCAGAATATGAAATTTTATTTTCAAAAAGAAAACCACCATGTGAGGTTTTTGTGAGATCTTCAAGTTTAACATGAGCATTATTACATTTTCTTTGTTTCTTTCTTTTTCAGGGCAACCATCTGAAAAAGAAAACTGCAGATTCTTCATGAAATATGCTGGCACCAACTCTGAACTTTATCGTGGACTTATGTTTTTATTGTTTCTTACTGTCTGGAATATCATCTCTATTTTTTAAATAAGACACAGCTTGCAGCTGCTGACAGTGCCTATGTGTACTGGAAGGAAGGCCACAGAGTTCATGTCACATTCAAATGTGTACAGTGGTTCTCCTGCTTCCTTAGGTAACCTGTTGGCACCTGTAAGCTGAAAAGTACAATTTCTAGTGATTAGTTGCTTGCTTATAGGACTTGAGCCAGATGAACTGCCTCTAAGCTAAATCAGACATGAAGTAATTATATTTGGCCTTTCTTGATTGCAATAGCAATTTTGTATCCTTCCAAGGAAAGAAAGAAACCCTTGTTCAATTGTAGGCCAGTATGAAAATCTGTAACATTATACAAGCAACAGAATCAGAAGGTGTACAGTCTACTGCAAATCATTGTAAAGCACCACTGATATATCACTGAAACATTTGTAATGGGTTATAAAAGTAACTTGGTTCATCCTGGTCCATCACACTAGTAATTGTAAATAAGGTTTTAACCACTGTCCAGTGTGATTGATAAAAGTTGTTTTTAATTTTTCATCCTTTACATGTTTCAGAAGGATATTATCAACACGTATGAAAACTACTGTTACATGTTATACATATGCTATATCTTTTAACTAATATTAAGATGTACATTGATTTGTTAAAACATCTAACAATTATTACAATTAATCTGTTTACAAAATAATGTTCAATATTTGTTTTCAACTAGAACCAATTTGGTTTTTAGATCTTTTAACAAATCAATGTACATCTTAACTCTTTGACTGGCGCGGGCATGTTTTAATGCCAGGGCGATGCCAGCCGTTCCCTGGCGTTGGCGTGTTCTAACGCTTTGAAAATCTCTTCCCTTATTTGCTCTCTTGGCTCTCATCAACCAAAGACATATATATGATAGTTTTTGTGCATGGTTGTAAAGAACCCTTGTAAACTTTGTGGGGGTCTATATTACTGTCAGAACCCTCCGAGAAGGAAAAGTTCAAAAAATATTTCACATTCATTCAGTTTCACCATGGCTTCTCGCAGCAAGTGTCGGCGTGTTCCTACAGACCAGCTGGAAAGTGTTGTGAAGGAGATTTGTGCTGATGATGATAG